TTGCACGACCTCCACCCCTACCCCCACCCCAGCTGCTGCAGAGGCCCGAGGTCACTGTGTTCCCAAGGGCGAGGGTCCGCGACGGCCAACACCAACCTTTCCGTGGGGGTCTGCCCAGAAGGCCCGAAAGCCTGTACCTTTCCAGATTGTCCCTAACACCCCGCTCGTCAGACAGCTTCCACCCTCAAGGTCACCACCTCGGACAGCAGTGAAATGGTGCCAGGAAATGAATGAAGTAACTGCTCCAAATTGAGATAGTGTACTGTGACAGACGGGACCCTAAACGTGAGGTGACGAGATGGAACCAGCCACCACGGGGGAGAGGAGCTCCGCCCCGCTGCAGGCCCCCTGCTTGTCTGTGTGGTCCGGAAGGGGCAGGAGGGGGTCAGGGGCAGTGGCTCGGGCTGCGTCTCAGTGAGAGGACTGGAAGGACCCGTCCCAGGAGACACACGGGAAAGCCCCCCCTGGAGGGGTGAGCCCCCCAAAGGCACCCCGCAACACAGCCCCAGCAGGAAGCTGGTGCCAAGTTTGTGCGGTGCAGCTGGAAGGGACACAAGAGGGTCCTGGTGCTGTGGTTGGAATATCTGTGTCCCTCAGTGTGACAGATGCGGAGGTGGGGCCTCCGAGAGGGAGGGGACTAGGTCGTGAGGGTGGAGCCCCCGTGAACAGGGTGAGTGTCCTGACGAGAGAGACCCCGGGGAGAGGACACAAACACTCTGAACCAGGAAGCGGGATCTCAGCAGACAGAGTCTGCTGACGCCTTCACCTCGGACTTCCAGCCTCCAGAACAGTGAGCAAGCCACCCAGTGACTTTCTTGAAGTCACCTGTCTGTGGTACTTCATCATGGCAGCTGTGCAAACTCACACAGACCCCAAACTGACGACGCTGTATCTGAACTAATACTATTGAACAGATCAAGTAGTTGCTTAGGGCCAGGGTGAAAATCAGGAGCCAGTTCAGGTTCATCAAGTTTTCTGGTAGACAAGGTGTTGGAGCCGACCTGCAAAGGGCCGGACTAGTCACCGGGTCTGGTCTCTGGGCTCACTCACGCCTCTTGCCGCGCGCCGCGCGCCGCAGTGCTGGGCTCCTGCCTTTTCTCGCGGTGCCAGAACGCAGGGAGCCTGAAAGGTGCTCAGGAGGCTCTGCTGTAAAGAGGAGGTGCCTGTAACCCAGAGGTGGCTCTAGAAGCTGAAATGTGACACCCAAGACCTCCCATTGCCTGTGCTGTGCCTGTCCCCTGCATTCTGATCTCCTGTGAAAACAGTAGGGTATTGCATAAAAGCAGCAAAAAAGGGGTTTTACTTAGGAATCTTAATGCCATTCTTTGAAAAGAAGCTTTAGTGAGAAGGTTTTTAAATGTGCAGGGCTGATTCACTTGTACTATCCTTTGTTTCTGTAATTGAAGTTACAGTCCAGGCTTGGGACAGTACTGGGTTCATAAGGGCGCAAAATGCACTTGATCTAAGAACACTCAGTGAAAGGCGGGGCTTGAGGTCTCAGATACACAATTAAGCAAATATGACCCTATTCATGTGGTTCCACCTAAAACTATTAAAGATAAACTCTTCTCTAATACAGAAAAATTCTAGGAGTGACACTGAAAGTTTAGCAAGTTTTAAAAGTGACACAATTAGGACCTGTACTCAATCTGACAAACGGAGACCTCTCCGGGCTCAGTGTTCTCATTTGCCACGGTGAACCTTCTGTTCAGTCTATGGATTATGTTGGACAACCTGCAATCACCTCCTCCAGCAAGAAGGCACCTCGACCCAGCCTCTGTAGACAATAGTCTTTTGCACTATAAAGATAATTTACTAACTCGTCACTAATTTACTCATGGAACATCTGTGTACATGCATGAGTCCAAGAAATTGAACTGTCACCAAAGCCTTAAGGAAATTCTTTCCTCCATCAACCCCAACCAGAGGGTTGAACGCAGAGGCAGCCCCCTTAACGCTGATGGAGGCTCGCCCCCACCCCCCAGGGCTCTCTTACTAACAGGCAAGGCAGCAGTCACCTGCTCTACACCTTTCTGGGAGCTCCAGGGCTTCCCTCCCCCCCAGTGCAACCCGTGTTGGGCTCTGGCTACCTCTCCTCCTTCCTGTCCTGTCACCTCTCTGCCCAGCCACACCCTCCCCGCGCTGTACCTTGGACACGGGCCCAGGCCCCAGATGGCCTCCCTGACAGCTCGCCCGCTGCATCCCTGCCTCGACTCAAATGTCACGTTATCAGAGAGCCTCTCTGTCTCACCAGCACCCCCTGCTCGCTACCCCACTTCCCTGGCTTACTTTTCCCCTTGGCCCTCTGCACCCGACCTCACACCTCTGTTCGCTGTCTGTCTCCTGCCACCAAGCCTCTGCTCCCTGAGAGCGGGGACTCCCTCTCGGCCCGGCTCCCTCCAGGCCGGTTTCCCGGGCCTGCTGTCACGGGGCACCGCCCACCAGGCACCACAGCGGAGACTACTGCCTCCAAGTCCGGAGGCCGGAAGTCCGAGACCAAGGTGGGGGCAGGGCCGGTTCCTCCCGGGGCTGTGAGGGGGGCGGTGCTCCGGGCAGCTCCTCTCACGCCTGGTGGTCAGCTGGCCGCCGCTGGTTCCATGATTTATAATGGCATCACCCCGACCTCCGCCGTCACCCTCACGTGGTGCCCGCCCCATAGGCATGTCTGAGTCCGCATTTCCCCGTTTTGTAAGGACACCAATCACGCTGGCTTAGGAGCCACCCTAAATGACCTCATTTTAACTTGATCACCTCTGTCAAGGGCCAACGTCCAGATAAGGTCCCGTTTGAGGGGGAGGGGGTTAGGACTTCAACCTTTTTTTGAGCACACAATTCACCCCATAAAAATCACAGCCATGTGACACTGGACAAGTTAATCTTCATCAGGAAAACGGGGCTAATAACGGCACCTGCCTCACTTGGATAATGAACACAGCACCCTGACAGCAAGGAGGCGTGCCCTGTGCCCTTAGGTGAGCCGCGCAGGCCGACAGGAGGAAGCTCAAGGGGGCCAGGCAGCCAGGGTCGGAGCCGCCCTGTGCCACTTGCTGGCTATGAGGGTGCACAAGGTGCTCCGTCTGAGACAGGCTGGGAGGGGGACACAGCAACCAATGCACGTCAGGTCCTGCGCACACAGTATGTCCTCTCTGAATGTCACCCATCACAGGCCAGGCTGAGGCAGGGACAGTGTCACCTTCCTCGCTCCGATGTTGCACAAATTCTTCAAGGGGGCTGCTCCCATCCGCTACTGGGTCACGGCACCAGGACTGGAGGCACAAACAGGACGCAGGAGGGAGATGTCCACACAAGAACTTGTGTACGAATGTTCACAGAAATACTAAATAGCCTAAAGGTGGAAATGCAAAGGTCACCCGATGAGATGAATGGATAAACAAACCATGGTCTATCCTCACAATGGAATGTCATTCAGCCATAAAAATGAAGAAAGTATTGATATATCTCACAACAGCATGGATGAACCCTGAAACATGCTGAATGAAAGATGTCGGACACAAAAGGCCACCTTGCATACTTCCATTTATATGAAATGTCCACAGACACAGAAAGTACATCAGTGGTGGGCAGGGGCAGGGGCGGGGTGGGAAGGGCTTCCTTGTGGGATGGTGGAATGTTCTGGAAGTAGACAGTGGTGATTCACAACATTGTAAATGTACGAAAATCCCGTTAATGATACGCTCTAAATGGTTAAATGGTAAATTTTATGTTAGGTGAATTTTACCTCAACACAAAAATAATGAGCACATGCCCTCCCCAAATGAGTATGCTATTTTTAGATTCCAGGAGAGTGAAGTACTGAAACAGCGCAACATCTAGAAGAACCTGAATATGCCTAAATCCCACCCCAGTGCTTCTCCCTGCCCCCGCCCCAGCCACCATCTGCAGCCACCGTGTGCAGACAGGACAGTGAGTGTCTCGGCTGGGGGATTCCCCGTTACAGCTCCGCAACCAGACTCCGGGCTCTCATTTGCCCTTCTCTGACCTCTGTCCATCCCAGCCAGCACCCATGCCAGGACCTCCACGCGCGGCAGATAGGCTCTGCGAGACACCACGCAGCTCCCAGCGGCCGCCTGTGTGGGGCAGCTGCCTGTCTGCGCCTGACAGCCGCGTGCCGTTGGAGAGCCGCTCTCTGGCGTCCCGTCAGTCTGCGGCGTTCTCCCCTCCCCGCCCTAGTCCGTGAAGAGGCCAATGGAGAAATTCCTTCTCTTCAGCAAGGTTTGCTCAAGGCCCCCGCGTTTATGACCTGGGGACTGAAGAGCTGCAGGGTAGGGCCCAGCAGCCCCCGAGCTCCTGCCTGGCACTGAGGCTCCAAAGTCAGGTGTCCTGGCCAGGAGTCCCGGCCAGACAGCCACAGAGCCGGCGCAGCCTCCTCGAGCCCAGGTATCTTCAACCCACGGTCACGGTGGCCACCTGAGTGCCTGGCCATGACTGTGTCGTCCCCTTTCTATCAGGATGGAAAAATACAACAGTCTCCTCTACAGGACACAGGGAAGGCCAAGCCCGCAGGTGAGCAGCTGTGGTCTTCCTAGACCTGGCCCCTTTCCTCTTCCAAACACACACACACAGTTTCTGGGCAGATTTCAATATTTATTGCATCCTTTATTCTTCCAGGAGTTACCAATCAGCGGTAAAATGGTCCAAAGAGGAGACCAAAGAAGAGAAAGGCATATAAATCCTAAGCAGTACATAAAGAACAATTCATCTTTGAGTAACTGATTGGACAGCTTTATTGCTGAGGAGAAGACTGTTCGGCTTCCCCACACTGTAACTCTACGCGCAGGAAGAAAGCCGGAAGGAGGTATGCAGGCTGTTAGGCTAATAGCGCATAACTCTGGGTGACAGATTTGTGGGTGGCTTTTCTTACCTGTATTTTCTAATTACTATAATCAGCATGTGGTGGAATAATAAGACAATCCCTTAAGAAAAAGCAGTATGGCTGTGTCCCTGCTCCCAGACCGTCCAAATGCGCTCCGCCTACATACCTTGTTGAGCTTGCCCAGGGAAGAGATAAGATCCGCCCATTCACTGGAGGACTCAAAATTCCTTAAAGCCTTTTCAATCACCGAAGAGTAATTTTTGTATCGGTAATCATTTAACAGCTCCTGCTCTTCTGGATCCATCTTACATTCTTCAACAGAAAAAGTATCTAAAAGCGAATCAAAAATAAACAAATGAGGCAGCTGTTCAAGGAAGTAAGTCAAGCCCAGCCCAGAGCTAGGGGACAGGCATCCTCTGCAAACACTCTGCAACAAAGTCTCCAGGCGGCGAACCAGTTCAAATATTTAGCAAGGCTTCCAGGCCAAGCACTGTGGTAGATTAAAGATAAACAGATCCAGGCCTCCTGGGTTCTGAGAGACAAGGGACAGGGTAGGCAGAAGCAAAAACCTAGGGTTCCACCTCACTGACAAAACTAGTTCTAGGGGCGAACCTCACAAAGCGGCTAACTACATACCTCTGCCGATTGGTAACTGGGAATCACCAATTGCAGATGGCCCCTCCCACTGTAGGGTATTAATAAAACCTAAGGAAACAACTCATTTGGCAGTCCAACCCTCTACAACTAGCCTAGAATAGAGGACTGGAAATATTGTAGAAGAAAATCTGGCGGGGCGGGGGCGGGGGGGGGGGAGTTAGAAAACATGAGGACGTAGGAGTGTAGCAGCCTGTTCAGTTACTCAATCCCGCTGCCCACGAGGCCCCCGCACCAGGTGCAGCCTGACAGCTTTAGGCCAGAGTGCAAGGCCGGGACGGAGGGTGGTTACACCGCGACCCATGCAACCATTTTATCCTTCTTGCCCTTGTAGAGTCTTTGACAAATTCTTTTATCTTTTCCTGTGGCTAGACGCATTCATTATACATGAACCACTGTAGCTATTACAAAGCCCAAGATGTAGACAGTCTAATCCCAACTCCAAAAGCAACCACTTCCCTTTATTTTTATCCCCAATGTGACAAAAAGAAATAAAGATCAGGGAATCCTGAACTAACTTGACTTTGTGAGAACAGCCGTCATTTATATGTTGTAATATACACAATACACATGCACGCTTATGTCGTTTTGCTTTTACTCCTTCATTATAAAAATCTGTGATAATATTTGATGCTGACTATGAGGGAGTCTGTATTCATGACTTCGGAGACTGGAAAGTCCCAGGACACCCTCCAGTCCCCAGCACCAGGTGCAACCCCAGAGGGTGGTGCAGATTTGTGCATTTATTTGTCTGTTCTGTAGGCTTACATCTATCTCCAGAATCCTGTAAGGTTTTAGGGTACCTCCAATACACACTTTTTGAAATAAAAATATTTCCTGTAAAAAAAATCTGAAGGTCAGCCCATCCCTCTATTCAAACAAATTACAACTCTGAAAAATACTGGACAAGGTGTGGAAGTGTCGGCAACCCCGACACCAAGCCTCGGGTCCTTGTTCTTTCATTCTTTATGCTCAGTGGTCTCCCCGTCCCTTTAACTTACAAATATCACCCTCATGCTAACGATCCACAAATTTGTAACACCCACTCAAACCTCCCCCTCTGATGTCCAGATTCCTGCAAATGTCTACCTGACCCCCTCCACCTGGATGTGGCACAGGTGTCTCAAACTTAGTACATCGCAAATTAGACTCTCTGGCTCTACCTCAGCATGTGGTCTGGCCATATTCATATACTGGCCACGGCAAAAGAACGTATCTCCTAATCGGCAATGAAAAGAACAAAGTACTGGTACAAGCTGCAGGAAGGATGAATCTGGAAAATACACACTTAGTGGAAGGAGCCAGTCACAAGGGCCATGCCTGATTCCATCTGTATTAGATGCCCAGAAGAGCTGAATCTACAGAGATGGCAAGTAGATGAGTGATTGCCGAGGGTGGGCAGTAAGAACAGGGAGTAACTGCAAATAGAAGCAAGGGATCTTTTTAGGGAAATGGAAATGTGCTAAAATTGGCCATGGCAATAGTTGCACAACTCTGCAAATTTACTAAAAATCACTGAATTGTATACTTGAATGAATGTTATGGTCTGTAAATTACATCTCAATAAGACTACTTAAAAAAAACAACAACGCAAAAACCCTTTACTCTTGATTCCATCTGCTCAGCACACTCCTTCTCCAGTCTTCCTTTCTGCAGAAAGTGATTCCGCTGCCCACATCATTCTGGAATCTTCCTTCTCTTCACCAGTCACACTCAACCCAAGTCCGGCTGGCTCTTCTCCCAAAGATCCTGCGGCCTCGCTTGCTCTCCTTCCCGACTGCCGCACTGTGCACAGCCTCCTAATTCTAATGTAGCTCAGTCTCCCTGCCCCTCCCCAGGGCACTTACACACAGCGCTCCAAGAAGCCTCTTCTCGTGCAGTGAAACACATACCCTGGCCAGGTAGCTGAGATGGTTAGAGCATCATCCTGATAGGCCAAGGTTGCTGGTTCAAGCTCCCGTCAGGGCACATACAAACTATCAACCAAGTGAATACATCAATAAGTGAAACAACAAATTGATGTTTCTCTGTCTCTCTCTAAAATCAGTAAATTAAACAAAAAATATCACCACATTTAAACTCCCCTGTTTAAACTCCCATTAAGCTGACAATAAATCTAAACCCCTCCCCCACTCACCCTATGGCCTACAAGGCTCCACCCACCTCTCCCTCCAAGGCACTCTGCTCATCCTAAGGCTGACTCATCCTGCCACAGAGCCTTTGCACATGCAGGGCCTGTCTGCAAAACGACTGTGCAATGCACATACACACCCATGCCACAGGGTTGCATACTCAGTCTGGGGAAGGCCTGTCCCTTTTTCTGAAATAGCCTTCGCACTTTGAAAATATTAAAGATGGTAAACAGAGATGGTAGTTTATTTTGTCAAGTAAGAAGTCAGTACGTCTTCTGGCTGGTGTCCAGCCCTGGCTGGTGTGGCTCAGTGGATTGAATGCTGGCTTGAGACCCAAAGGGTCACCAGTTTGACCCCCAGTCAGGGCATATGCCTGGGTTACAGGCCAGGTCCCCAGTAGGGGGCACTCGAGAGGCAGCCACACACTGATGTTTCTCTCTACCACACGTCCCCTGTCTAAAATTAAATAAAATCTTAAAAAAAAAAAAAGTCAGTACATCCAAATACCCAAATACATAGTCCATAACTTTCCCCCCGCCCCAGGAAACTTCCCGGTCTGAAATCCCAGTATCTCTCAATCACTGCAATGTCCAAGCATAGTCTGTCTGTTCTCTATATTAATTGTCTAAGGACTGGGAAAAGAAACATGAAAAAGACTGGTCCACTCTCAGTTCATAGTGTAACTGAAAGGGGAAATACATAATTTCAGTTTAATGTGGCACATACAGTGGCAGAGGGTGAGCTGAAGTGACAGAGAGATGCTGGTAAGAGGCAAGGCCAGAGGAAGCCCAACTACCAGCAGGGGGTCCTCGAAGCCCACAGGTGTAGGTGGCTCCTTGGCAGGAAGAGAGCCTGGTCACTGGTAACGTGTGTGCTTCGGCGGTGGGCAGCAAAGGGGCATCTCTGCCCATGGCAAGGATGGTGTCGGCCAGGTGAGGGCAGGTAACTGGAGCAGTCAGTGTTACGCTTGGCTGGACGAAGAAAGGACTATTCAGTGTCACTAACAGCACAGTTGAGAAGTCCTCCTGGGTGGACGTGGTAAATCCATCATTTACGCATGCATTTATCTCATGCAACACACACGAGTCCTGTGAGAAGGTATGGCAGGTCTCCCGGTGAGGATGCTGGGAATCAGGCCCCCCAGAAAACTGCCCCGGTCACACAGCAACGACCGGCAGACTCAGGACTCCAGCTCAGGCCTATGCAGTGCCACAGAGCCTTCGCTACATGATGCTGCAGGTAGAATGGATAGCTTCAGCCCTTAAGTAGCTCTTTTGACAATGTTTTTGCAACTGGCCCTGAATACTTTTCTACGCAAGACTCAGTAGCTCAGACAAAGTGACAGAATTCTCCAGCCAACTAACAGTTAAATACACAAGTGTCCACACTTAAACAAGTACCATCTGACCAGATATATGCCTGAAAATCTAAAATGTGAGTAGAAAATCTCTCATCTTATCCACTCTTAATTTCTTAGAAAAACATGTTCAAGGGAAAAATCGACTGCCAGATCCAAAAGAAGTTCCCTATAAAGATGTATACATTTCTGAGAAGTTAGATGAAAAGGAGAACAGTGAAAAATGATAGCTACCCTCCCACGAGCATGAATACTTATCAACAGATAATGACCCTTAGCCTACAGCAAACACTCATCTGCAATTGGTTAACTGGTTTAGCCAACTCCAGGGCACATTTTGAATTTGGTCTTTCAGGGTGGTAATTAAATGGTGGTAAATTTAAAGACACTAATGGGAGCAAGCTGGGGGCGGATGGACGGGGGTAGCCTCCATCTCAACAAAAAAAATCCTACAAAGTTTTCCTAAATGTAGGGCAGCTGTCCCAGGTTAGGGAAACACCTGCTAAAGGGCCACCCACGCCAACCACAGCCGGCAATCCTGCAAGGCGCAGGGGCCAGGCGGAGAGCGCGCGCACACTGCGGCTCGGATCCCTTCTCCTGGGGACAGTCTGGGAAGGCTCTGGGGTCTTCCCTTAATAGGGAAGTCCTCGTTTTAGAGGGGCCAAGGTCTCGGTCCCTAGCCCTCCTCCCCAACTAAGACCGTACAGCAAACAAAGGCACAGCTTCTCCGCGGTCAGCAGGCCGAAGGGAGGGACTGGCGGGCGTGACCCACCTGACCTCCACCTGCCAGACCGGAGGCCTCACCATGCCCGCAAGGGCGTGGCCGCACTTCCCGCACCGCCGGGAGCCGGGGGAACAGGGAGAGGACCCTTCCCAGCATCGAGGGCCGCCCCTCGGAGGTCTCGCACCGGAGCCTGAGCCCGAGCCCACGCCCACGCGCGGCCTCGCCGGAGCCGACCCGCACTGCAGCAGTGCGGGTGCAAGTCGCGCCCCGAGAACCACCTACACTCCGGGGCCGCCCCCACTGCGCCGCTGGAACCCTGCGCAACGTGAGGAGGGACGCCCGCGCCGCCTTGCCGCTCGCGGGCCCGCGGGAGACGCCCCGGCTCCCCTGGCTCCACCGGCGGCCGAGGACGCGAGTCCGACTTACCCACAGCGGCAGCGGCCTTTCTTGGGGGCACGCCCACGGGCGGCGCGGAGGAGCCGGCCTCGTCGGGCAGGAAGAGCGAGCTGCCGCTGCGGCGCAGCCCGGAGCCCGGACGGCGGAGGAAGCGCCGCTCCCAAGCCCTTGGCCCTTAGCTCTAGGAGTAGGGGCGGTACCGGGAGGTGGAGCCTCCGCGCGCGGGGGCGGAGCCGAGGCGGATCCTCTGTACGTGCGGCGGGACTAAGGGCGGGCTCTAAGGGGGCGGGGCAGGTAGGCGGGTCCTCGGCGCGGGGGCGGGGCCAAGGAGTGCCCTCGGTGTGCAGGGATTGGGCAAAAGAAAGAGGCCCGGGGTCGTTAGGTCTTGCGGCAAAACCGCGGGCCTCTCGTGGACGCTTGGGGCGGGGTCCGAAGGCGGGCCTCTGACCCGGGGGCGGATCAGGAGGCGGCACCTCGGCTGCGGAGGAGCTGTGGGGGCGGGTTCTCATGGTGAGTGGGCGGGTCCTGCTAGCTGACAGCGGGGCTCACTCCCACAGCTTACCTGCCGGGGCGAGGGGGAGGGATGTCGCCATCTGCCAGGACAGTCAGCTTGAGCCCGCGCCGCGGGACTATCCCGGAAGACCTCGCACTGGTGGGCGGGGTGGTGGCTCCGCCTCGCGTCTGGAACTCTCCGGACACAGGCAAAGAAAGGGAACCTCGGTTATCGGACTAGCCTGCCGGAGGAAGGGCTTTGGAGTTACAGACAGGAGGACCGTGGGACTCAGGAACGGTGGGGCCCATGGCTCCTGGATCACCTCATCCTTCCCATCACCCAAACTCTCGGGAAGGAGGCGGACCGCAGAGACTTGGGGACTCTGGTTAAGAAGCCTCGTCCCTAGAGGCCGCACCTTTCCGACATCAGAGGAGGTGAAGGAATTAATTCTGAAATGAGCTTGGTTAAGTGCTCTCTGTCTCAGTCGGGGCCTCTGTAACCCCTTCCTGTCATTTTCATGAGCTTTCGGACTTGGCCAGTTCAGACCCACCCTACCTCGTCTGACAGCTGCAGGCCGAGAGGCACCTCGAAGGATGGGCATCAGGTGGAGTTCAACTGAGCACCCGGGTTGCACCAGCTGGGGCTCCCAGCCAACCAAAGCAGTGCCACCGGTTGGTTGTCCTCGTAATTTCTGTGCGGGCCTCTACCGATTTAACCCCTTAAATTCCGTTAGGAATTTTCAGATCTAATCTGAAGCTCCTGAAGGCAAGGCAGTCATGAAAGTTTGGGGGTGAGGTGGGAGTGGGAAGACCACGAACGCTATAAATTGTACAGAACAGTTCTATTCCCAAGGGGATCGATCACCTCCCCCAAATCACCTAGAATATTTTAATACTTTGGGATGCTGGATCTCTGGCCTAGCTGTCTCCAACTCCATTTGGCATATACCAAGTGCCCCAGATGTATATCTACCAGATGTATAATGGTTAACTTTGTATATCTACCAGATGTATAATGGTTAACTTTGGGAATGATCTTAAAGGAGAAGCAGAGAAAAACCAAAGGATTGAGCAGTTAGCAAGAAAAAAAATTAATTTCATGAAAATTGCTTCCCTGATGAAGACATGATAAACTTTGTTTTTACAAAAACAGAGTTGACAAACAATGAGGTTTTGCGAATCCTAGCCACACTCCACACTGTGTTGAACTAATAAGAGATGAAAGAACTGCTTATACTCTCCACTGAATAAGAGAACCAGTCTGTGTCAAAACCACCGGGTACAACTTTGCCCTAATACATTTATGTAAAATAATATTCATGCCTTGTATTTGTGTCACCTATCTCCAAAGAACTCCATGTGTGTAGGAAGTTAATTTAAATTAACTCTGACAAATTCAAGTAGGAGCTATAGTCGGATTTTCGATTGTATGGGAGGTCAATGCCCCTCACTCTGTTGTTCAAGCTCAACTGTATTTTAAACCCATAAAATAGTAACTCCATTTATAACCAGGATTGACAGTAAAGTACAGCATTAAGCTCTGAAAGTTTATTCCTACAAGAAATCTGTTTCTGGGGGTAAGTTGTCTCGTCACACTTAAAAGTCTTCTTAGTTATGTTCATCTGTTTAAGACATGTAAATAGATCAGATTCCTTGCATAATAATACTCAAACTACTCAAAGCATTTCGGATTTAATTTAAATCAGAACTTTAATTCTTACTTCTTTTGACCACGGACAAGGCATTAAAACTCAGAAATGACTAAGAGGCTCTGGCTCAGACTGGCCACCTATTAGAAAGATTGGCCAGGTAGACACATGCTGAGCTTCTGTGTGCAGATACTGGTGACCTTTTAAGCCTGTCTTCTCTAAACTCGATTCTAATCCACCCATCTAGGTAGAAGCCCTGCGTTGCTCTGTATTTGATCCTGTGCCCGCTTGTGACTTGCAGGAACAACTAAACCTTGGCCAGGCTCGTCATAATCACCGGTCTTATTGCCACACTACATCGCTGTTAAGCTTCTTGGTCTGTCACAGTCCTTGTTGCAGTTCAGTAGGTGAGGGAGAAGGCCAAGGCCAGGCCCCAGGTTGATACTGCCTGCGGGCTCGCCACACATGTGTCAACCTAGAAAAGTGTATCACAGAGAATCTGATGTGGACGGAGTCACTGGCTCCACAAAAACACATCTTATGGGATAACCCATTTAAAATGTGCCACTTTTAAACCATATTTCGATTTTCCACTTTCCGGAAAAGTTCACATAGAGGATAATTTGGGGATCTAATAACCACACGGCTTACAAATCACTCACATTCAGTGTATCGCCTCCCTTCATTTTTATACTGAGTTGCCCACTGGTTCTGGACTCACGATGGTGGAGCTGGGTGTGACAAGTGTGAGGTGCCAAGAAAAGCCAGGCAACCCTGCACCAAGACAGACCTGGAGGCGATGCCAGCGCACAGCTCTTAGCTCTGTGACCCTGGCCGGCTACTGACCCTCGCAAGCTTTCCCTTCCTCATTAGAAAAATGACGTTCATACCTACCTTATGGAGAACAGTATCGAGAAAGTCTTAGTGTGCTGTGGGTTCTCAATGTCTGATTCTTTTTTCCTTCTTCCAAGCCTAATTTATTTTTCACTACCGCATACCGTGAAACATTTTTTTCATGCACTTTTGTCAGATTCCCTTGGTTGCAAGAACAAGAGCCCAGTTCAAACCAGCTTAAAAAAAGGGAAATTCCTTTGAAGGATACAGAGCACCTTGGAGTGTGTCTTAGAACCAGGGAGCTCAGGAATGGGCTGAGGCTGGGGAGAGATGCCGCCCTGGGGAGGGGCCGTCTCTCTGCGGGCCACTCTGTAACTGCTTCTCCTGAGAGTCTGATGCCTCCTTCTCTGTCAATGCCTGTCTCCCTCTGCTCCTTGGACCATGTGGGCAGGGTGGGCTGCTCACAGTAGCAGCTCTGAGCTTTCCCTGGTCCCTTCAGCTGGCTCGAGGCGAGCAGGGCAAAGTTACCTTGTGGCTGCTGCTGCTGCAAACTTGGAAAGAGGCAGGGGGCAGGGGGCAGGAGGTAACTCTTGGGAAGACGTTGCTGGGCAGACCATCCAATAAGGACTATGACTTTTTCATAAAAATGAGAAATGCCATTCTGATCAGCAGTTGACAATGAAGAGTTTTCTAAGTGGGCTACATGCTGGTCCAAGAATGTCAAGGTGAGCTTTGGCTAGAGCCACAGAAAGGAGAGAAGGAACAAGGGACTGGCCTGTTGCTTCCTTGTGCACTTCTGGTCTGTGATTGCAAAAGGCTGGCCTGAGGGTGCTGCAGGGCGTCTGTGGTACCATCACCCATCACGCAGGGCTCTGGAAGCTGCTGTGGAGGAAGACCAGAATGGAAAAGGGGTTCAGGAAATGTGTCAAAAGCCATTGAAATGTTTTTAGAGCCATGCAAGAAGTCATTAAAATGTTTTAGGAGCTACGGTCTGAGACGAACATAAGCTGGGTTTAGTCAGGCAATTTAGCGAAGGCTGGAGGAAGTGAAACTCAAGCTGGGTGAGATTCAGACTTCCCCCTGACCGAAGGGGACGGGAAAGTGAAGTATGCGTTGAGAGAGCTAGCCTGGCATTTCGCCATGCTGCCATTGTGAGCTGGGGAGTCCGCAAAAATAAATACCTTGCACCCTGTGGTGGACCAGAAATAACGGGGTCACCTGTGTAGCCCTGGTTCCCCCAAGAAATGAAACCTTGAGTATTTGCATACTTTACTCATTCTCAAATGGAAAACAGTGTTACCCCTTTCTTCTGCAACGCGGTTGCAGGAGCTGTGCCCTTTGTGGTCATAACCGAGTGACAGGGCTGTGGTTCCCCACTGTGAGCAGCCCACCCCGCACTGGGTGAATGTGGGCTTTCTCTCCTGCGCATGGTGCCCATTGTGCCCTGCTGTATTTGTGCTAGCCGCCCCCACTTAGGTCTGGACTCCTTTGCAAACTTTCTGCGCAAGTGTATTTCCTCTCCTTTGCAAGATCCTTTGGTCTCCAAGTCTTTTCTCTACAGGGTACCCCCAGAACCCGCGAGAGGGTTGCAAAATGCATCTGATGTGAAAGCAGTGAACACAGAGTTGCCGTTGTCAGAGAGGCTACAGAATGGGCCCTGGGGAGGCCTCGGAAGAACCACCCCAGGCTATAGGCCAGAGAGAAGCAGAACCAGTTCGGAGGCTACCCCTGCGTCTGTCAGAGCAAAGAGACGGTCTGGACAAAGAGGCCCACGCAGGAACAAGATCAAAGAAGTGGCGGGGCCACCTTGCAGACAATCTGGGAAGAACACGGAATGCAGAGCCTAAAAGGAAAATCTGTTATGGGAGAAATGACGTGCGAGAAGGCAAAAAAAAAGACATTCCTCCTGAGCCCTGCAAACTACATACTGTTAGATTTCATAAGGATATGAACTCATTAAAATGCACTCAAATATAATACAACAGAATGCAAGACGAAGCAGGCGTGCAGAGCTAACAGGGCAACAGAGGCTAAGTCATCCTCCCCACAGAGTCACCAGTGGAGAGACAGCAGAGGACAGCCGGGCACCACACACGGGCCTGCGACCTCTTGCTCTCGCTGGACCAGGGTGCTCCGCGTGGTTCTCAGAAGCAGCAGCAGCAGCAGCAGCCCCTCGGAACCTGGGAGGAGTGCCCATTCTTGGTTCCTGGCTCCGGGCCACGGCACAACACGCCCCCCAGCTGAATCTGATGCCCTCTAACACGCGGCAACCACAGGACTGGCTCCTCCTCTCAGGCTCGAGTCTGGGTTCGGCGAAATCACCCAGCTCGAGTCCTGGACCAGACCCCCCTTCTCCCTGGGCGACCCTAACTGACACCCCTGGGGGACAGGAACACATCAGATGGTGACACTAGAATTCATTCACTCATTCCATTTATTGAGCATTAAGCACCGAAGAAGGCATTCACCAGGTCTGGACGACTTTGTCGCGGACTAGCTGGCCGTGAGGCTCGTTGGCATCTGGGGGCAGGAGAGCCAAGTAGACAGGGGTCTCAGCCCCCTCCTCCGCAGTCCTAGAGCCGTAATCGCCCGCCATGTCGGTCTTCACCCACCCAGGGCAGCACGCATTCAGCAGGATCCTGTCGGCCTTTCTCTTCTCATCCAGGCGTCGGGCCAGGATCCTCGATAAGACCGTGACCCCCAGCTTGGACACCCCGTAAGCCGAGCCGGGCCAGCCTTCCCTCTCGTGCACTTCATTCCTGGCATCCTCCACGAACTTCTTCATGAGGTCCACCAGGTCCTCCTCGGTGAGAGTGTCAGAGCGGAACTTCTCCTGCAGATCTTCGCTGCAGTTTTCCAGCGCTCGGGACCCCTGCAGGCTGCTGATATTCACCACTCTGCCTGAAACAGAACAACAGAAGATAGGAAGGCACGTCACAGAAGGGTCGTCGGTGGACTATGCCAACAATGGACGGCGACTGAGTCACAGCGCAGGTTCACCTGCGAATTACAGACCGTGACCCTAGGAGGCACCCGTGGTGTTCCATATTTTTTCTCTTCTCGTAAAGGGAAGAACACCTTTCCGTCAGGAACAGGGGCTAAAGAGCAGCGATTCCCCATTAGGTGAGGAGGTCTGCCGGAGGATCACCAGGTAGTTTATAAAACGCTCCCACCCTCCTCCCACATGCTCCAGAGGCTTCTAAACCTGCTTTCCTAGAGACAGCTCCTTCTCCCCGAAATTTAACGCTGTCGGGTTTGCACAATCTCCTAGCCTCAAGCCAGGCCCTGGAGACGACCCCTGTCCACCCTTAATAATGGATACTTTCACGCGTGGAGCACACTGATTCTCTACCCTGGTTTTGATTTTCCTTACATTTTAACTGGTTGTTAATAAATAATTAAATGTAATTAATGAGTTAATGCTCATAGTAGCAATAATTCACAGCTAGTAAAGACACAGTTCTGTGCATGAACACACATATGCAGGCCCAAATTATAAAACCATTTGGAGTGTGGGTGGAAATCCAAAATCCAGTGTAGTGTACATGTGAATTTGAATTTATACATTTCATCCAATATATAGAAAAACAACAACTGAAGGGGATTCTTTTCTTACAGTTTTTCTGAATCCATACCCTTTGCATCCAATAGGATAGCTGGGTTTTATTTCCCGTTCTGAGTGGCATTCACCACAAGTACATGACCCCGTATGGGGGTCACTCATTCTGCCCCTGGACAAGAGCACCCCCGGTCCCCCAGGTACCTAGAACTCTCTGTATTTTCTTTCCTTCCTTCCTTCATTACTTCTCTCTCCCTATCTGGTAATATATATGTCCTTCCCAATTTTAGCTTTTACTTGAGACCTACAGAGGAGTTGCAAGAATAGGTCAATAAACACCAATATACCCTTCATCTAAGTTTACCAGTTGTTAACATTTTGCCACACTTAAGACATTTATCATGGTACAACGCTATTGCCTGAAGCAGGGATTTTCAACGGGTGTGCTGCAAGAATTTTTAAAACATGCAACACCTAATTATTCAGTCAGGGGCACTGACTTTTTTCCCCTTAGATTGTCAAATAAAAAAATGACAGCAGCCAACACAGCACTAGCCATCCAGTGGGAATGCCCTGTCTTGAAGCTTAAATATATAGGTCAGATAGTAGAGTTGCATCTTTTGGTCATGTTGCTTAATAAGGTTGTGTCTGGTTGGTTAATTCTTGGTACCAGAAATCCTTACATGCAAGTACAGACACCTGATTTTTTTAAAAGTCATTTTCAAGTGCCCTGGCTGGGGTGGCTCAGTTGGTTGGCTGTTGTTCTGCAGACCGAAAGGCTACAGATTTGATCCTCCGTCAGGGCACAGGCCTGGGTTGCAGGTTTGGTCCTCAGGTTGCGTGCAGGAGGCCCCTGATCAAAGTTCCTCCTTTACATCAATGCTTCTCTCCCTCTTTCTCCCTCCCTCCCCTCTCTCTGGATGCAATAAAAAAAAAAAAAAAAAAAAAAGGAAAAAATTTTAAAAAGTCACTTTGGAGCAAAAAAGGTAGGTAATTAGTATTATTATTTTTTTGTAAATCAATCAAAATTATACCCAGTTTTTTTGGTCAGATTGGCAAAAAATACACTTTTTGGTGTGCTGCAGAATTTTAGTAATTAGTTTATGTGTGTATGAGATGAAAGGATTGAACATCACTGATCTAAGGTATAATCCGACTCAAATGTCCCCAACTGTCTCAGTAGTCTTCCTTTATAGGGTTGTTTTGTTTTCATCCAGGTTCCAATGAGATTATGGATTGCAATTCGTTGACGTATCTCTCTAACCTACTTTTCTCTAGAGAAATTGACCTTTTTGAAGATTCTAGTTTAGGCTATTATTTTGCAGTATTTCCCCCAATCTGGATTGGCCTGATGTTTTCATGATTAGGTCCACTTCAATATTTTGGCCCGGAGCACTACATCGGAGATGTTGTATTCTTCATTATTTTCCAAAGTTTTGTTCTCCGTCACTTGGCTGTTGCAGGGAATTAAATTTAAAAGGGAAAGATAGAAAAGAAAAACAAGTTGCTGGAGCTACCCTATGCCTCTGATGGAAATAAAAAACCTTCTATGAGGAAGAAGTGTCTTTCCTGCTCTGAGGATGCACCTCTGGGCGAGGCCAAGCCGTGACAGTCTCAGCAGCCACTGGGATCCAGTCCGCCCTGAGGCGGGCGCACCCACACGGCCCCACGCCCTCCACCCTTCACCCAGAGCCAGGTGGCTGCACAGGTGCAGAAACACCACCCTATTTCCAGAGAGTGGACAAGCGGCTCCCCCTAGTGGCTTGACACTTGCTCAACGTATTTACTCAGAATCGAACAAATAAGGAAGTTGAGTAACTTTGTTCAAAGTGGTATTATAACCTAGATAAAAGGTGACTTTTAAACCAGGGAGAAAACGACTCCCTACAAATCAAGAGGCAATAATATTCAGCATTTTGCCTTCCAGGTAAACGTGAAGTGTATTGAAAAGTGACAAATGTTCTCAAGGTATTGTAAAGCAGAGAGTCAGCTTTGGGAAGTGCTGTTACAGAGCGAATTAAAGACAGCACCTCATCTGTCCCGGGTTGATCCCTGCACCCCGCCCTCCTCAGATCCCTTTTTTTTCCGAGTGGCTGGATCTCCAATCACTCGGTGCTGCAACCCTTGCTTCACTAGAGTTAATTACCCTGGTTCCACCGAGTCAGCCGAGTGTAGTCAGGGAACCTGGATGCTTCCAGCCCTGTTGCCACCCGGCTGTGTTTGCTTTTATGGGCCTCAATTTCCTTCTCTGAAAGTGAAGGTGTCGGAACGGAATTTCTCCAGTAGCTTGCGGCTTGCGGCTTTCAAGATAATTCTACGATTCTAAAATCCACAGGGAGAAGGCTTCCTGGTACTTGGCTAAGAGACATCCCTACAATGAAACCCTGTGCAGCAGTAAAAAAGCTCTCTGCCCTGATCAGGAAGGAGCCCAAGATGGAGTGAATGAAGAAAACAAGGTGGCAAACACACTTAATGTGCCCTTTTGTGTAAGTAAAAAAAAAAAAAAAGAAAAATGCATTTAGACTTGCTTAGATTTGAATTTAAACCCTGGGCCCTCACCAGCTCTGTGCACCTGTGCCCAAGGCTTCCTTCTGTGTGCAGCACCTGCGGCTCTGCTTGCGGGGTTTCCAGGGTCCCGCCCCAGGGAGCAACCAGCGAAGAGAATTACCCGTGGGGGCTGGAGACGGGAGTTGGGCAAGTTGTGGAGTCGGGGGGGTGGTTCAGGTACAACTCTTCACCGGCAACTTTTTAGATGTTAAGATTTTTGCACTACGGATCATCTGTATTCAAAACGTTAAATTTTAAAAAGCACATTTGTAATAAGAACCACAGAGCTGTTTTCCCTTAGCATCACAGTTGACTTCTGGGAAGAGAAAATCCTCAGGGAAGCAGGCCTTCTCTCCCGCCCCCCCCATAACCCCATCCAACACAGTTGTAATGGAAACTTTGGATTCTTTGTTAATGACAGTTTCCCCCACTAGAGTCTGCGCTCGGAGGGTACGGCTGTCCCCGTCCATTGTGTACCCAGCACTCAGAGTAACAACTGGGTTATGGTAGGCACTCCACAAATATTTGTGGAAAAAGTAATTCAAGTGATTTATTGAACACTTTGGAATGTTGGCAAGATATTTTCTAGTAAATAAAATTTCCCTTTTATTTTTCAATTAGCTATAATCACACCTCGGATAAACCTCATTGGCTATGATACTTGGCAAAGCTAAGATAAAATTTTCTTGTGGGTGTTCTGAATCCGCCAAAGTTTGGCACAAGAAGAAAGGAACACAGGGCAAGTCATCACAAGGCTAGAACAGATACTATCCCCACGTGGCCCCACATGGGTGTGGCCCTGTCACCCTGGGGAGCTGGCGGAGGGCTCACGGAGGTCACAAGAATGCAAGAGGACTTTTAAGACTTGCAATACCTTATTGTTCCAGGATTGGGCTTGTGACATGGGAGACCCAAGAGCTTGGCCATGTGCCATACATACCTTTTAAAGCTACACCTAAAAGGCCTGGGTGAGGAGTCAGATACACTATCCAAAAAAAAAAAAAAAAGCCATGTTCCGTGTTTCCCCCACAGAGAAAGAGCACCCTTGGGTGATTCCTTTGGGAAGCAGATGCAACTCGACAATCCACACGCTGGACTCACCGTGTGGTTTTATCATCGGCAGTAATTCAGTGCAGACATTTCTCGTAGCAAAAAAGTTTGTCTTCAGCGTTATCTCAGCTTGAACGTCAAAGGGTGTTGGATCGTCAACTTTGGAAAGGAGGAGAAAACAAAGAAAAAAAAATCAGGCATTTCCCCCTGGAATTCATATGTCAAAGTGGGCCTTACCTCTCATTAAAAGGGAAAAAAAATTGTTGTAACTTTACAACAATTTTTAAACCAAGAGGTCGGTGGTTCTCAAACTTCAATCACACTCCTGAATCACATGCAAGGCCTGTTAGGACAGCTTTCTGGACCCAACCCCCAGAGTTTGCATTGTTCCCGGGTAACTCTAGGGCTACTGGTCTGCGCTCTTAGGAGCACGGCTTGGAACACAGCTTGGAACACAGCTTCTCGAATTAGAACGGGCAGAGGGGACACCTGGACCCTGTTAAAATGCAGATTCCGATTTAGCAGGCGTGGGGTAAAACCTTAAGTTCTGCGACTCGCAGCGAGAGGCCAGGGTTGCAGGTACTGCTGCTGGCCGTGGCCCACACCTTGAGGGGCAAGGCTTCCAGCGCCCACCCGCCTTGTTCCCCATGGCAGCCCGGCAGCCGGGTGTTTATCCACCAGCCAGTCCGTCAGCCACGGGCTGCAGGGGGTGTCAGCCACCTCCCCCCGCGCTCCCGCAAAGCCCGCAGACTGAGTGGAAGGTGCGCGCGCAGAGCAATGGTGACAATGACGCAAGGCCAAGGGGATGAAAAGTCGTGCTTCACAATAGCTCGTTTTACTCGGTTCTGCCTCTGGGTTTCTCTTCTCCATGAGGTTGTGAGCTAGGCTGGACTGTTATTTCTTTTTACCCTCAGCACATAGCAGCACCATAACTTTCTTAACTGAGTAATAGAGTAAGTAGTCACCTTGATTTCCGCCCTCCCCCACCAAGTCTCGGAAGATGCTACTTAAAACCACCCTTGTATGTTTGATAACAAATACAAGTTCCCCGGGGGAGGGAACAGGCCCGCTTCCTTTAAGCCAGAGCCTATCAAAGCTCTCCATTAAACAAAGTCTCCAGTCCACTAACGTGCAAGTGCGCGCTAATCGGGTCTCAGAGATTCATTTCCTGTCCCGGGCAGATGGCTCCTGGCATCTGTGAATGCGCCTTTTCAAGAAAGCGAAAGCCCAAAGTGAGCTTGGAGACCCTCCGCAGAGAAAATGTTTCTTGCCTTAGATGGAAAGCTGATGAGCTAAGCAGGGCGTGGCCCCCACCCACGAGGCGGTTTACTTGTTGCAAACCGCGGCAGCTGACAGCTCGCCGAGGGCCCTGGGCTTGCACAGGCCGGCCAGCCCGCGGGCCGGCGGGCGGGGCGTGTTGTGCCCAGCGCCTCGGCCCGTTTGGCGCCGAGCGAACCTCTCCCGCAACTCCGGGTAGCGAGGACCCGCTACAGGAGGCTAGAGCTGAAGGTTTCTCGAGGGGCGCACGCTGCCCTTCCGATCTCTCAAGGTGGATGGGCGGGGGCGCCTGCGGCTCGCAGCCCCGCGCCCTTGGGCACCCAGGGACCTCCCACTCCCGCACCTACACTTAAAGGCGATGCCCGCGTTGTTGATCAGCACGTTGAGGCCCCCGTACTCCTTGCGCAGGAAGTCCCGCAGGACGCGGATGCTCTGCAGGTCGTCGATGTCCAGCTGGTGGAAGCGCGGGCTCAGACCCTCGGCCTGCAGCTGCTGCACGGCTGCCTGGCCCCGCGCCGCGTCCCGCGCCGTGAGCACCACGTCCCCCGAGAACTGCCGGCACAGGTCCCGCGCGATGGCGAAGCCGATGCCCTTGTTGGCCCCGGTGACCACCGCCACGCGGCTGCAGGACGACATGACTGCGTGGGAGGCGCGCGGGGCACGTGCGCGGGGAGGGGATGGAGCTGGAGGCCACGGGGAGTACCCGCTACGGAGACCCGGTCACCGTCTGAGAAGCCGCACGGAACTGAGTTCTGGGATTCAGTGCAGTGACTTTGGGCAGTCAGGCTCCGGCCTCGGTCCCTCCCTCCAAGGAGGGGCCTTCTTTTCCCGAGGCTTTCGTAACGCCCGATTCCCGGGTCCGCCCCCTCCCCGCGCTGTGTCCTCCTGGAAACTCCTCTGAGTCAAGCCGTGCCGAGTCTGTCGGTGGAGGGGTGGAGCGGTGGTCGTCTCCCAACACCGGACCGTGATGGGTCGATAGCGTCTAGAGATTCTGTCAGTAGGACTGAAGCAACTATTTTAGGAGAACCCCAAACAGGGCAAAACAAGTGCTGAGTGTTTTTCATGGGTATGCGCCCAACACCCTCTGTGAGATGGGCATGTTTGCGTTTTCCTTAAAATGCAGTGGAATTATTTAGACATGATAACAGCTCCTGGGGACACAGGTCTCATTGCTTGCTTAAGAGAAACTCAAGAGAGAATTAGAGCAAAAAGTCCTATGGGTAGATTTACAGGTCTGCGCAGGGCGCGTTGCTCTGTGTGATGCTCTGTGGTTCCCTGTGCGCCCCCAAGCGGGAGGGGATGCTTATGAAGCTCTTACCGTGCGTTAAGCCTTTTACTGGAATGTTTTTAATTTGATCCTTACATAACTCCTAGGGGTGCCAGGTGTCTGCATTTTAGGTTTGTCCAAGGTGACATACATATATATATATTTCTCCCAGTGAAATCTGTGCACCCACAAAGGTCAGCTGAAAAGGAACTCCCAAAGGTGTGGCAAGGTGTGGATGGGCAATTAAGGGCTTCCGACCCGCCTTCTTGAGTGTAATCTGAATGTGTTTGATCCGAGGGCGTTTCACGGTGACTGGTAGGTTTGTGGAAAGCTTCGATCTCACCATGACTCAGCACCTCCCAGAAGAGAGAGCCAGGCGGTGGGCCTCTGTCACTTGGACTCCACCTTCTCCATCTGGGGAGGTCAGGAAGGCAGGTACCTGCTGTGTGGCAGTCCCCAACTGTGGCTCAACCCCCATTTTTTCCCCTACAGATTATTTGGAACTCTATTTTGAAGACGTGGGGCTATTCAGATTTCTTATTTCTTCTTGACTGAGCTTAACTCCTGCTTTTCAAAAAAAGAAATTAGCGTATTTCATCTAAGTTGTTGACGCTGTTGATATGAAGTTGTTCATCATATGTTCTTATTAATCCATTTCATAGTGGCAATGCCGCCACACTCTCATTCCTGATATTGGTAATTTGTGTCTTTCATATTTTCTTTTCCTGATCTGTCTGGCTAGAGGTTTACCATTTCTTTTTCTTTTCTTTCTTTTCCTTTGTCTCAAGGCACTGGCTTTTGGTTTCATTGGTATTTTTCTCTGGTGATGTTATATTTTTGTTCTAATCTTTATTTCCTTTCTTTTGCTCTCACTGGGTTTTATTTGCTTTTTCTAGTTTCTTACCATGGAACCTGAGGTAACTGATTTGAGATCTTTCTTCTTATACAAGCATTAGGGGCTATTAATTTTCCTTTAAATACTAAGTTAGTGGCAACCCATAAAAATGGATATGTTGTGTTTCAATTTCAATCAGTTTAAAATACTTTTTAATATCTTCTCTGACCATGGGTGTTTAGATGTATATTTTTTTATTTTCCAATTGTTTTGGGATTTTTTAGGTATCTTGTTGTTATTGACTTCTCTAATAATTTAATTTCACTCTAGTCAGAGAACATATTAAGCCTGTGTATGTTTTTTGATAATTTATTTTCCTACAGACCGCCCCTTCAAACCACCAAAGGTTGTACTTAGGACAAGAATTTATCATCCAAATATTAAAATTACAGTGGTCTCCTGCCTTAACGATTTCTAAAGTTCTTTTGTCCATTTGTTCACTGCCATGTGACCCAAACCCAGGTGACCCCCTGGTGCTGAGATGCACGGAGCTATGAAGCAGACAGATAATCAGCACCACAGACTATCTCAGGGATGGACTCAGAAGTGTGCCGTGTGCTGCTACCTCCAAGTCAGAATAACCTGCATTGTATCTGGAATAAACTGTATATTGTTCCTTTTTGCTTTTTTTTATGCAGCTGCTTCCCAATCAGACTTCATCTTTTTTTTAGTTTTATTTTTTTCTTTACCTCCCTCCCTCCATTCACATGCTCATCTATGAAGACTTAAGTTGTTCCAGCTTTGGATAATAACTGCTTTTAGAAACTGTAGTTACAGGAGAACTGGTGCCTGAAATTCAAAATAATTTTTTAAAAGATTTTATGTATTTATTTTAGAGCGACAGGAAGGGAGGGAGAAAGAGAAGGAGAGAAACATTGATGTGTGACAGATACATTGATCGATTGCCTCTTTCATGCCCCCAACTGGGGACCTGGCCAGCAACCCAGGCATGTGACCTGACTGGGAACTGGACCAGTGACATTTCCGTCTGCAGGCCAGCACTCAATCCACTGAGCTACACCAGCCTGGGCCAGAATTTTTTTTTTTTTTTTTAATGGAGCACGTGTATTATGTAGCCATAGTCTTCACTCTAACTTGGTTATGAGACGAAAGCCATTCCTCATGGCTCTAACATGCTGAAGGGCCACCCGAGGGGGAGGGAGGTAGATGCTCAGGTCACTTCAAAGGAAGCAGCATTGTTCTAGCAGCATCCATTCTTGTTTAAACCTTCCACTGTTAGAGACTTGAGGCAACTTCATATCCTTTATACTTATAACTGAGGTGGCTAGAGAGATGGTATTGGACTTACAGCATCAACAGAACAGAAAATGTGATGTATTTCATTCATGTCAATAAAGCAATGACCTATTCTTGTTCGAGAATGGAAACTGGAAATCAAACACCCTTTGTATTCCAAAGTAGGGTCTCAAGTATTTTGAAATTAAGAAAAAAAACCCTTACCTCAGGATGTGTTCATTGATTTTAGAGACAGGGGAAGGGGGCGAGGAAAGAGAGAGGTGAGACTGATTGATTGCCTTTTGTATATGCCCCAACTGGGGACTGAACCCACAACTTAGGTGTGTGCCCTGACCAGAAATCGAACCCGCAACCTTTTGGTGTATGGGACAATGCTCCAGCGAACTAAGCCACGTGGCAGAGCTGTCATTTCATTTAAATTGTTAGGAGGCTTGGAGCTATTAGTTAGGCTGTCTTCCAACACACTGTTTAATATAGCCCTGAATAAATGATGCAAGTTAATGGATGGGTGATTGACTAATAGCTCTGCTAGTGATTGATTTATTTTTTCAATAAATTTGCATAAACCAAAAAACAAAACTGTTTTCTTTGCTTATGTATGAGATAGCAGCAAATAAGTCACATCTTCAGGTTCCACTTCTAATTCTAGTTCTCGTGCTATTTCCACCACACCCGCAGTTACTTCCTCCAATGAAGCCTGAACCCCCTCCCCCAAAGTTATCCATGAGGGCTGGGATCAACTTCTTCCAAGCTCTTGTTAATGTTGCTATTTTGCTCTCTTCCCATGAGTCACAAATGTTTTTAATGGCACCAAGAGTGGTGAATCCTTTCCAGAAGGTTTTCAGTATCCTTTGCCCAGATCCATCAGAGAAATCACTCTTTGGCAGCTCTATCTAGCCTTATGAAATGTATTTCTTTAATAATAAGGCTTGGAAGCTGAAATTACTCCTTAATCCATGGGCTGCAGAGTGGACGTTCTGTTAGCAGCCACAACATTAATCTCGTTGTACATCTCTGTCAGAGCTCTTGGGTGACCAGGTACATTGTCTGTCAGCAGTAATACTTTGAAAGAAAGAATTTTTTTTTCCCCCTGAGCAGTAGGTCTCAGCATTGGACTTAGCATATTTCAGGGAACAATTTTGTGAACAGATGCACTGTCATCCAGACTTTGTTCTTCCATTAATAGAGCAACAGAAAGAGAAGATTTAGCATAATTCTTAAGGGCCCTGGAATTCCTGGAATGATACATGAGCATTGGCTGCAATTTAAAGTCACAGCTGCCTTAGCCCCTGATAAGAGAGTCAGCCTGTCCTTTGAAGCTTTGAAGCCAGGCATTGACTTCTCCTCTTGAGCCAAGAAGCTCCTTGATGGCATCTTCTTCCAATGTGAGGTAGTTTCATCTCCACTGAAAATCTGTTGTTTAGTGTAACCACCTTTGTGAATTATCTTTGCCAATTTTCTGGATAACTTGCTGCAGCTTCGACACAAGCACTTGTTGCTTCACTTGGTGCTTTGACGTTCTGGAGACAGCTGCTTTCCTTAAACCTCATGAACCAACTTCTGCCAGCTTCAAACTTTCTCCTAAAGCTTCTGCACCTCTCTTGAAGGAATTCCTACGAGCCTTGTTAATGGCTGCACTTTGCTCCTGAAGGACTTTCTGGAGGACAGTGAGTGAGCAGAGATGACAGAGAATACTCAGGAAGAAAGAGACCCAAAGAGGTCCCTTAGGAGGGTCTGCAGCTCCCCAGAGACAGCTGAAGTGTGCTGCAGAGCTGGGATAGTGGAGAACTCTTGGAAGGAACATAGCAGAAGAGCTCCCAGCACCTGGAAGGTCGAGCATTACTACTTTTGGTTTGGTGTTTCCCAACTCAAATAGAGTTTTTCTAAGATAAACTCTTAATATTGTGATATGCTTCGGTCTATCTCTTAATACTAAATAGTTCTGCAAAAAAATAGTTTATAAATAACCGTTGGTCAAGGGGAATAAAATGAGGACAAAACCATGAAAATGTGTGTAGTGGCTTTACAGAATGGCTTAGCTGTTCCTTTCAATCTCTCCTCACCCCACACTGGCTCCTCCAAATGTTAGGCATACGTCTGGTACTATTGTTGTGTCTGTTATGTAAATTCTGTATTAAATAGGCTCAATGATCCTGGTGCTGGAAGAGAGCCTTGGCGAAGACCCAGGAGGTGGCCTGTGGCAAGGTCTGGCCCTTTGCCCAGGGCTGCTGAGGGTGATCTTGAACCCCTTGGACTGCCCTGCCTGATAAGACTCTCCTCATTTACTTGGGGGCTTAGGGCCAGGCTCTACAATGTATGTTAACAACATGATTGTGGTGAGGCTACCTGGTATCAGCTGGACCCCTGCAGAGGCTGAAGAGGAAGGTCGGCCAAGGGAACAGGGGGCCATGTTTATGTGACCCACTCTCAACAAAAGCACCTGAAATTGAGTCCTGGTTCCCAGTACTGTGTCATCATCTCACATATTTGCTAGAATAAATCCACATTGTCTGCAGGACTGCACTGAGGTAGGACAACTGGAGCTCCATGCCTGGCCTTTCCTGGGCCCTGTCCAGTGAGAGTCCCCACTGCTGATTTGAATCAATCCGCATCTATAGAATACACTGCCATTTGGAGTGTAACAGCTTTCCTGAGGTCTGAATCCTGATAATGGTTATTGAACCTGAGGGTGGTCTTGGGGACCCCCTGAACTTGTAAAAACCAAGTGGTATTTATTTCAGGTATGTACGGTTGGTTTAGCATCTAGAAACCAACTGATGTATTTAATATTCTCTGTCAGTAGAGTAGAAAGGAAAGCCCATGTGATCAGATGCAGATTTTAGGGCCCTAGTGAATTGGTGGTAGTGAATGCCCACTAACCTGAGTAAGGTCACTCCGAGGGAGGGAGGGGGTGCCCGGCATGCGATCCTTGGGGGCACGGGCAGTGACTGGTCTCTCTGAGGCAGCTTCTGAACAATGGCCTGAGGGTAAGGAAGAGCCTCTTGTAGCCCTGGCCAGATAGCTCAGTTGGTTAGAGCATCTTCCCCTTAGGTTGGAGGTTTGATCCCCAGTCAGGGCACATAAAGGAATCAACCAATTAAAGCATAAAGAAGTGAAACAACACATCTGCATTCCTCTCTGCCTCTGTCTCTCTCCCTCTCTCCTTCCTCTCAAATCAATTAAAAAAAAATTTAAAAACTAGAGCCAGCTGTGCAGAGACTGGTGGGCCGAGTGTATACCTGAGTCCTGTGGCCGAAGGGCCCAGGTCCAGCAGAGACACCAGAAGGCCGTGGAGCTGAGCAGGGAGCAGGAGCAGGGCCTGGGACCCGGTCGGAGACAGGCAGGACCAGGTCGTTCCACAAGCTCCACAGCCACGGCTCCTCCTGACTCACCTCGGGGTTTCATGACCGCAGGAGGCCCGTGCAGTCGCCTCGGGTACCACAAAAATTTGTTTTTATCATCACTTCTGCTTGAATACGAAACGGTATGTGACCATCATCTTACAGGGGAGAAGGTGAGTGGCGTTAATAAATCATATTCATGTGGTAAAATCCCATAGAATTATATAAAACATTTTTTTGCAAGTAAAAGCTGGTTAATTCGAAGTAATGCCTGGCTGTAGTTCACAGCGTTGTGCCAATGTCAAAGTCACGGCTTGTTTGTTTTGCAGAGCTGTACAGCAGTACTGCTCAAGATAGGCAAAGCATGCCAAATGTGTGCCATGCTTTGCAATTTCTTGTTTGTTTTCTTCCAAGTAAGTTAAACATTCAACAAACTGCTCTAAAGTACAATCAGAGAAAATGTGCAAAACTCTGGAGGGTGTCCCTAAGAATCTGATCCTGGAAATGCAAAGACCCTCTGGTTGGAAAGGCTTTCCAGCTGCTGAGGTTTCTGCTGTCCCTGTGGCCTCCAATCCTTCCTAGGGGGTCTGTTCTAGATCCCAGAAGCCACTGCCTCAGCAGCCCCGACCCCCGGCCAGTCCCCCTCCTGAAGACTGTCTCCTCTCTGAGCTGGCAGGCACTTAATGGGGAGGAAGAGGCCCGCATTGTTGACTAGCACGTTGAGCATTCCCAACCCCCTTGAGCAGGGAGTTGGGCAGGGCTCTGAAGCTCTGTAGATTGTTGACGTCCAGCTGGTGGAAGCGTGGGCCCAGGCCCTCAGCCTGCAGCTGCTGCATGGCCACCTGGCCCCGTGCCTCCTCCCATGACATGAGCACCACGTTCCTCGAAACTGCTGGAACAGGTCCCCGCACAACGGTGAAGCCGATGCCCCTGTTGGCTCCGGTGGCCAGCACAAGAGAGCAGAATGACAAGGCTGGGTGATGGCGTGGGGGAATCTGAGCAGAGAGCACAGTGCTGGGGGCCAAGGGGGCTGGCAGGTGTTGTCTTGCTCTGTGGTGACCCCGGCGAGCAGCAGCACACGACTGAATTCTGGTTTCCAGGGCCGTGACTGCTGGACACAGAGGCCCGCCTTTGTGCCTCCCTCCAGGGAGGGGCTGAATGTGCCAGGTTCACGCCCGTCACCAATCCCATGCCCGTGATGTACTTTGGTCGCAAGCAGCACACACAGCCCTCTTTGATCCCAGCTGCGCCCAGCAGCAGGTGGGGGTGGAGAGGGGCGCTCCCCCACAACACTCTGGTTGGCGCCGATAATCGAGGGCTGGAGACGGATGGCTGCTGAACTGAAGAAACTACTTTGGGAACCCCAAAAGGTGAAAAAGAGTTGTGCAGGGTCATTGTTTTGGGCTTGGGCCCACTGCCCACTGCAGAATGGGAATGGTTGCTTTTCCTAAAATGCAATGCAATATTTAGACAAGGTCATTGCTTCTAAGGACATACAATAGACCCCCCTCCTTTCTACTACAGAAACCCATCCTGTGTTTACTTCCCGTGCGGGCAAGGCTCCTCCCGCTGATGCCCAGTACGCCCCCTAGTGGGAGGGAGGGTGTATGACACTCTTACTCTGTGCTAAGCCACTGAAGGCCTGCGTACCATGGTTACATAATCCCTGTTTGTTTCAAGAGCCTGCATTTTGGTGTGGTCCCGGTCACAGGTATTAGAGAGATACACAAAACCCTACCCTGCTCACTGGTTATAAATGGCCCGTGGCTACTTTCAAGCTGCAACAGCAGATCTGAGTAGTTCCAAGAGAGACTGTGGCCTGCAAAGCTGCAAGTATTCCCTCTCTGGCTCCTTCTAGAATGTTTGTGGCTCCTGAGTCATGCAGTCCCTTCCTTGACTCAACTTTTAGGTCTGTTAGATTTCTGAGCGGCTTTAGCGTGTAAGGAATGTGCACGAAGGCTCTATGGGGAGAACAGTTAAATCATCTGCTGGTTTTGATTCATTATTCTCATCTACTCCACTCTTTGTCCTCCTGTAGCACAGAAAAAAAACCACAAGACTCGCAGGATTAGTAGCCAGCCCAAACAATGCTTTACGGAGATATATTTTTTGGGTAGAAATTACGTGACAGCGTACAGGTTCTTTTGGTCAGCTCAGGACAGACCACATAATGGGGCCTATGGAGGGAGCCAGGAGAGGGGCTCACCACGGCTGAACCTCCTTCTCCGAAACGAACTGCCCATGAGGCCCCTCCGCTGTCGAGGGTAGAAGGGCCAAGTACACAGGGGTCTCTGCTCCCTCCTCCGGGCTCTTGGTGGCTTTGGGACCGGCCATGTCGGTCCTCACCCACCCTGGACAGCAGGCATTCAGGAGGATCTTGTCCCCCTTCCTGCGCTCGCTCAGGTGCCTGGCGTGGATTCTGGACAGGACCGTGACGCCAATTTTCGAGACTCCATAGGCGGTGTTGGGCCAGCCCTCCTTCTGGTGCACCCCGTTCTTTGTATCTTCCACAAACTTGTTCATGAGCCCCACCAGCTCCTCCTCGCTGATGGTGTCACTTCGGAACTTCTGCTGCAGTTCTGGGCTGCAGTTTTTCAGAGACCTGAGACTCACAAAGCTAGACACATTCACAACTCTTCCTGAAACACAGCAGAAATCGCTACATAGAGAGGCACGCACGAGAACGCTGGCTGCCAAATCTGCTGGGGTTTTCGACCAGGGAATTTCCACTGGAGAAATTTCTAGCATGCTATGAGCATAAATGAAGACGGCTTCTGTGAGTGAAGGACATGAGACAACCTAGAAACCTGTCCTACCCATCACGTCTCAGATGGTGTCAGAGAGCTGTTTTAACGAGGGCGTTGCATGCCCTGAAGTTCCGTAAGAAAATGGAAATGGTTTATACAGAACACGTTAAGGGGACGATACAGAGGTGCTCATTGCGTTCAGGCGTAGACAGCCCCTTTTCCCCAAAGACTGTTTTGGGGAACACCTGAGGATCTTTCGGTCACCTGGGCAGGGCTCTGAACAGCTGTCTATAGACCAAAAAGAGCAGTTCTGAGGTGAATGGACAACATCCAGTTTGGAAGGCTGCTCTTCTTATCGAGGGAGGTAAAAACAAATTACCGTATTTTGCCGGGTATAATGTGACTGGTTTTGCTCAAATTTTTGAGGGAAAAAATAGGATGCGCATTATACATGGGTAGTGCCTGAAATACCTTGTATCTGTTCTTAGGTGTTATAATTACTTGTTACATAAAGTTTCTTGGACCGTAATATGTTCAAAAGTAAAAGCTAAAATTTCTTTCTAATACAAAAAGCAAGTATCTAAATATAAATAAACAAAAAAAATGTATTTAAAATTCATTAAAAAAATTAAAACGAAAGACTTTTTTTCCTGAAAGTCTGGGCCAAAAACAGGAGTGCAGAGTATTCATGGGGCATGCATTGTACACGGCAAAATCTGGTAGTTCTGGGGGCTGAACTGCATGCAGTTTTCTCCACGCTTGGACTTTGATCAGCGTGGGAGCAGGCGGGTAAGTGGACGCAGGCAGCCGCAGCCATGGATGCAGGGGCGGGAGAGCTGTTGGCACAGGCCTCTTGCACCCTCTCAGCACACAATGCCAAGGACCGTTCTCTCCGCCAGCGAGAGAGACAAAGATTGCAGGTGGTGACAGCGGAGAGACCTGGAGGAAACGGGACTGGGAGGGCTCACCCTCAGACTCACCTTGGGGTTTCATGAGAGGCAGGAGCTCTGTGGAGATGTCTCGGGTACCAAAAAAGTTTGTTTTCATGGTCACTTCTGCTTGAATGTGAAACGGTGTGGGGTCATTAACTTGAAGGAGAGAAGGTGAGTAGAGTTAATAGACAGTAGGGTTTCCAAGGGAAGGTTCGAAGGTCCGTTTGGACGGAAAGCACTCAAGTTTCTCTCGCACTTTGATCAACAGTCCCCTCCCCCTCTTACTTCCCTAGAGAGCCGTTCTGCACCCCATGGGTATCAAAAGCCCCACCGATTCCCCGACAGATCCAGCCCAACCCTGGCTGCAGGTGCTCGGGGTGACTCCTCCCCTGCGACCACCCAGCCCCTTACCCTTGAAGGCGATGCCCGCGTTATTGACCAGCACGTCCAGGCCCCCGTATTCCTTGCGCAGGAAGTCCCGCAGGACGCGGATGCTCTGCAGGTCGTTGATGTCCAGCTGGTGGAAGCGCGGGCTCAGACCCTCGGCCTGCAGCTGCTGCACAGCTGCCTGGCCCCGCGCCACGTCCCGCGCCGTGAGCACCACGTCCCCCGAGAACTGCCGGCACAGGTCCCGCGTGATGGCGAAGCCGATGCCCTTGTTGGCCCCGGTGACCACCGCCACGCGGCTGTAGGACGACATGGCTCGGTGTGGAACGCGTGAAGTACTTGCGTGGAGAGCGGATCCTGCCACGGGTGCCAAACCGCGTGGGGCAGCCCACAGCTTGCACGACACCTCCGTGCGTCTGGGCGTCTGGGTGTCTGGCGCTCGCTCTGCGCAGGGCGCCCAGAGCCGTCCAGCCAGGCGCGCAGGCGCAGGCGCAGTCGCTGGCCCCGCCCCTCAGGGCGTGGACTCCCGTGGTCCTGCAATGTAAACAAGGGCTACCTGGCAGGTTTACAAGAGGGGCGGGCTGAAGTCTAAGGCGGTTGGCTGCCGGCCGCTGTCCGTCAGCAGAGAAGTATTCTGATGGGTCGCGTGACTACAGTTCAGCTGCGCCGCGAGCCCCGGTTTTCCAAGCCTTTTTTTTTTCCGTATTTTCCTAACCAAGCCCTCACAGTTGTGCTTGAAGAAGTGGAACGTTGGTACAGACTTTTTCGCCCCCGATGTTTTAAAAAATATAGCTCGAAAACTAAAGTCTCTGGAACTGGAGCTGTGGAATAGCTAGGAGGTATGACGGGCTCGTGTGTGTTGATCTGTCTCCTAAGTATGTGAAAGCAAAGCTACCGGCTTATCCTTGGCTGGTTTTCACCCGACAGTGGGCGATGTTTGCTAAATCATCACAGGATTACTTCCCTGGACCAGCGGTTTTCAGCCGGTGTGCTGCAAGAACCTTTAAAAGGGGCAACCTATTTACCTGTATTTTGCCGTGTGTAACGTGCACCCACGTTTTTGGCCCAAACTTTAAGGAAAAAAAAAGTCTTTCGTATTTTTAAATTCAGTCATTTATATTTAGATACTTGTTTTTTGTATTATAAAGGAATTTTATCATTTATTTTTGAACATATCATGGTACAAGAAACTTTATGTAACAAGTAATTACAAAACCTAAGAACAGATTTCAGGCACTACCCAGGTATAACGTGCATCCTTTTTTTCCCCCTCAAAAATTAGCACAAAAAGTGCCCATTACACATGGCAAAATACGGTAGTCAGGGGCACTGACCAATTGTCGTTAGACTATCAAATAAAAAAATGACAACAGCCAACACAACAATAGCTGTCTAGTGTGAATGAATCAAAATTATACCTATTTTTTTTGTCATAATGGCAAAAACCTACTTTTTGGTGTGCCACAGAATTCTGGTAATTAGTTCGTGTGTGCCCTGAGATGAGGAAGGTTGAAAGTCACCGCCCTCGACACTTGCAAGGTCATAGAATTACCTGGATCTACGTCCTCAGGTGTGTAGGGGCCAGGTAGCTTTGCAGCCATTTTTCACACTCAAAATACCTAGGATGCATCTTGTTATCTCCATTTTTAAGTGCAGAAGTGGATTCTCAGAACGTTCAAAAATTAGTTGAGATAGGAAATTAATTTTCTTCCTTCCTATTTAGTACTTACAACAGAGGAAATAGGGGACTATAAAACCAAGTTTCTTTTGCGTGCTGTCCCTTATGGTAGCCACAAGTGGTCACTTTAAGCCAAACAATACAACAGAATTCAGTTCTTCAGCCGCACTAGCTACACTTCCAGCGCTCACACGTCACATGTGTGCGGCCGCTGCGCTGGACAGCGCGGATGTCCAACGTTTCTGTCGCAGTAGGAAGCTCTGCCGGAAAGCTTGCCGTAGTTTCATGGCAGGTGTTCAACCAGCTCAAAAACCTAAAATCAATAATTAGGGTGTGGACCCTTTGGTTTTTTGACAAACTTTTTATTGAGATAACTGTAGATTCACATGCAGTAGTAACAAATAATAATGAGATTCCTTACATTACACCCATTTTTGCTCAACGGTAAGATTTTGCAAAACTATAGTACAATATCACAATCAGAATATTGATATCCAAACAATCCAGGCACCAATCATTCGAATTTCCTCAGTTTTACTTGTACTTGTGTGTGTTCTTATGTGTATTCGGAGCTATACAGCTTTATCACGTGTAGGTTTGTACGTCCCCTACTGTAGTCAAGGCAGAAAACATTTCCATGAGCGCAAGCATCGCCCCTGTTGCTCTTTTATAACCACACACGCTGTCTCTTGCCTTCCACCCCGAGCCCTACATCCTGGCAACCGCTGATCTGTTCTCCATTTCTAAAGTTGTATTATTTCAAAATGTGACATAGATGGAGTCACACAGTATGGGACCTTTTGGGATATATTTTTAAATCAGGATAATTTAAGAGCTTTGTTTTGGACTTCCTTATCCAAGTTTGTGCTCTGTCTGTGACTTGCTGGGCTCCTCCCACACCACGGGCTGTTTTCTTCCGTGGGCGGGGCGAGCCGGTGCTGGAAGGGCTGGGACGGCCCTGGACAGGGGGCTCGCTGGTTAGAGCGTCGTCGCAATACATTACGGTTGTGGGTTTAATCCCTGGTCAGGGCACGTACGAGAATCAGCCAATGAACGCATAAATACGTGGAAAAACAAATCACTGTTTCTCTCAAATCAATAAAAAATTTAAAAAAAGAAGGATGTGAATTAAACTAAGAGGGCCGCTCAGCCACAGCACATGGTGCGGGGGGGACCACGGACATGGAGGGGTCTGCTGTTCCAAGGGGCATATTGTAAGGGGGCGACGAATCACGGTTTTCAGCCTGATTTGTTGATTATTTTGGTACTGGCAGCAACACAAGAATTGGCAGGTCAGTAGGGCAAGATGCTCCAGAAAGTACAACATATAACATATCTTGTAGTAATAAGAATTTAGCATATAAGTGGCATTAACAATTAATGGGGGAAAGGAAGAATTATTCCAAAAATGGCACTGACGAAAGGGAGTAATGAATGGTTGGAAAGAAAAAAAAAAAGAGATACAACATATGCCAATTAATTTCTAAAGAGAGAAAAAAGTGCTTTCTCACTTTTAAAATTATTGTTACTTAAAAACCATAAAACAAGTCTAAGAAAGCTTAAAGTGTGTATTTTTCCATATGGGAAAAGGATATTGTAAACAAGGGAACAATCACAAAGGAAAACACTGATGGATTTGACTATGGGAAACTGAAAATTTAAAGCCAGTGAGTTAAGCTCCACTTGGATCATTTTGTATCTCTTTTCCTCTGTCAAATCTGGGTCTTCATCCTGATGATGTGTTTGAACCCCTTCGCCCCCCGCCCCCATACATAGTCTCTTGTCTGGGTTCTGAACAACTTTCAAAATAAAACAAAAAGATAAAAGTGGAGGCCCAGATCCCTGTTATTACTGCTAATGGCTAACTTAGAAGATAATCCTTCAGTTGTGAGAGTTAAGTCTGAGATCACCCTGGCTGCTTTATAGAGCAAGAATTTTATCACATCACATCAGGTAAATTGTGGAATAAACTCACATGTTTACTACTCACTGGTTCGAAGCAGTTATTTCATTTGTCTTAAGAGTTCCATGGTGTCTTTAAAATAAAAAAATGTGGGAAAACAGTATTGTTAAATGATAAACTATTAAACTCTCAGGGTCTTCTGTTGCCCATGACTATTCAACCTCATAGAACTCAACTTGGCATTGGCTTTGCTCCTTACACTTTGTTTAGAGTATTCAGTAAATCTTTCTACCTGGGTAGCACATGGAGTTGGAGTCTGGGAGTCAAATTGTGGCTGAGTTGCTTAGTAGATAATTAACTCCAAACAATTTACTTAGCAGGGCCCTTGCTGGTGTGGCTCAGTGGACTGACCGCCAGCCTGCAAACCGAAAGATTCCCTGTCACGGCACATGCCTGTGTCGCTTGCCAGGTCCCCAGTTTGGGGGCATGTGAGAGGCAACCGATTGATGTATCTCTCACACATTGATGTTTCTCTCCCTCTCTTCCCCACTCTCTAAAAGAAAAAAAAAAGGAAGGTAAAGTGGTAAGAACAGACCCGAATCAGTAATATACTCCTGCACTAGGGAAGAGGGTCCACTGAACTGAACTTGGATTTGTACAGAGGTGACTGGGCTCTTCAAAGGGAGGGTGAGGGAGGAGGGAGGGGGATCAGGGGGGGCTTGAGTAGAGCCAGGAAAGTGAAAAATGCCTAATGAGTGTCAATGCTCATTAGCCCAGCTGTATGGCTGAATTCCTGATGGGAGACAGAGGCCCTATTCCTTCTGGTAACTACATTTCAAAGGAATGGCTTTCAGGTCCTTGAGAAAGACACTCCAGAGTTGTAGGAGATACAGAGTATCTCAAATGCAGAGAGCAAGGATTCTCACAGTGCAGTGTAAGCCTTTTTAGTCAATGTTCCAAGGAGTGGCAGCAAGCATAGAGTGTTGCCTAGAAGAGTAAATTCTTCCGGCTGCTTTGAGCTCTTTAAGGGCTGGAGTCATCCTTGGGAAACAGACCTGGGGCTGTTAGAATCTATGTTAGCGCTTGTTTACATTTTTGAATGGAGGTGGAGGAGGCAGGGGCTGGAGTGGATGAAACCATTCACGCCCGGTCTGTAGATTGCGTAGGCTGAGGTTGAGATCTCACGGAGGTTTGGTCAGGGAATCTTTGTCGATTCCCACCTAGAAAATGGGAGTATGTATGACCTTCCTTCCTCATAAAAGGAAAATACCCATTTTATCTGCCCCGTTTCTTCTTGTCTTGAATGTATTTGTGTGAGAACGTGGTGAGTGGAGCTGCACCAACTACCTTGAGACCATGGGGAGGCAAAGTAAACCGTGACTAGCCAGCTCCCTACGGAGGGTGCTGTGTGAAAAATTAGAAAGAACTTTGATCTGGGATGACATCACTGACTCTTGGGTCCACGTCTGGAATAATCTATTTCTAACCACCCCCCCTTTCTTTTCAATACATTTCAAATTTTAGAATAGATTTGTTGAAGAGTTGCAAATGTAGTACAGAGAATTCCAATATACCCCTGATCAAATTTCCCTATTATTAACCATCTCACTGTGGTGGTTCATTTGTCACAACTAAGAAACTATCATTGGAACAGTAGTAATAACTAAGCTTCATGTTTTATTTCAATTTTACTAGTTTTCCCCAATATCCTTTTTCTATTCGAAATTCCCTGCAGAATTTCACATTACAGTTAACCGTCTTTCTCCTTAGTTTCCTTTGGTTTATGACAGAGTTTACTTGTGTTCCACAACCTTTGACAGATTTTAGTAGTGATCAGGTGTTTATGGGTTTGTTTGATGTTTTTCTCAAGGAAGAATTGGGGTTATGAGGTTTTGGAAAGGACCACCACAGAAATAGAGCCCCTCCCTACATCCCGGGCATCCTATCAACTTATTTCACTGAGGAAGTTAACCCTCATCACCTGGCCGCCGCCTTGCTCGCCAGGTTTCTCCACTGTAAGGTTACATTTCCTCACTCTCTCCTTTTTAAAAAATCTTCACCCGAGGATATGTTTATTGATTTTAGAGCGAAAGCAAGGGGTTGAGGGAGACATGATTGAGAGAAACCTATCGGCTGCCTGCCATAGAGCCTCGACCGGAAATCGAACCCGCAAACTAGGTGGGCGCCCTGACCCGGTTCCTCCAACCTTCTGGTGTAGGGGAGGACGCTCCAACCAAGTGAGCCACCCGGACAGGGCACTTTCCCCCAGTTTCCATATCGCACTGTACTCTTTGGAAGCAAGTTCTATGCATATCTTATAATCAAGGTGGGGTGGGTGGCGCAGAAATTGAGCTCCATCTCGCACGGAGAACTATTTGCCTGAATGACAGGGAATTCTCTCGCAAGGCTAACCCTGGGACGACTAGGCCGGTGAGGCGGGGCTCGCAAGCAAAGAGTCGGGCCTAGGCTGGCGGGGAAGTCGGGGTGGGCCAGGAAGTACGGCTGCCAGGGCTCTAGGGTTCCGGGCCTAGGCGGAGGTCCGCGGACCAAAGGGTGGGTGCCTGCCCCAGGGTCCGGCCTGGGATGCGCGCCTGCGAGGTTCCTCCCCTTTAGTACGCAGAGGATGACTCCGCAGGCCGGCCCCTGACAGTGCAGCATCCCCTCGTCGGCGGGCCGGGTATCTCCTTCGCGGCTGGCTTGGACGTCTTTGGCGCATCCGGAACTCACTGCGCATGCGCCAGGCGGCAGCCCGTGCCGAAGAGACGACTCCTGCCAGCAACCGAGGACTTGGTTTCGGTCAGAGAAGACTCCGGCAGTCCTGACGGCTCCCAGCCTCTCCATCTGCTGTTGCGGCCCGTTTCTTTAACTCGCCATCATTTGGGGTGCTGTTCCCGCTGTCCCCTGCCTTGGGCCCGCTGTCCCCGCCGCCATGCTGAAGCCGGCGCGCGTCGCGGAGGTGAGCCGGAAGCACTGCCGCGCCGGGGCTTCCTGTTGCCCGGGTAACGGGAGCAGGCGCCCGCTGGAGCTTTTCTTGCATTTAAAATTTTTGGTGGAAGAAGGAGAACTAAGTTTGTATCGCATACTTCCGTCAGGCCTGGAAATCGTTCATTTGGCGAATGTTGGTGCAGGAAGCCGCCGTGGAGGCGTTGGGGGTGGGGTAGGGGTGCGACCTGCTGGCAGCTCACGTGCTGGTCGGACTAGGAAGGACGGTGCCGTTGGTCGGGCTGTCACCTTGGCTGCACGTGTAGCGCTCGATCGCCGGACCGGGGACCCGCGCGCAGCTGGCCGGGGGTCAGCGTGCGGGCACAGCGCTGGGCACCAGAGCGGACGAGCACGGGGAGGGGGTAGGGAGGCCCAGCCGGGCTGACCCTGGGAGCCCGCTCGCCACCTTTTGGAAGATGAAACAGTGACCCTTCCAGGGCTAAAGTGAGATGTTAATAGTGCCCGGAGCTCTTGTCTTGTTACTCATTTCTCTCTGGCATGGTAGTGGATTTGAAAAAAACAGTTGTGTGGTTCAGGTGCACGTACATAAACAGGAATTATATTCATGGTATGTTACTTATGTACTCATATAAATCACAAAATAGGAGGAAACAAAATGAATAGTAAAAGCGCTCTCCCCTTGCACATCTTTGAATATCTTTTCTTAAATCCTCTGGTTTTATAAACATACATAATGTGCTCAAAAGCAAACCTAGAAGGGATCATTGAATTTGTAATGTTCTGCAACTTCGTTTTTTTTTCCACTTAATATATCTTGGACATTTTTACCTCTTAGCATGTATTTTCTCCCTGTTAACGGCTCCATAATACTCCTGCGGTTGTTTTTAATGGACTTTATGTTTCTAAGGAAGTAACATGGAAACTCTAGTAGTCATTTTAGATTTTATGTTTATGTCTTTGTTTTGTCTGCTTTCTTGGCTCTCATTCTCTTCCTGATCTATTGCAAATCCCATTTAATTACATTTACTTCAGGATCATGTTTTGTTTGTTTTTGTTTCTTCCTCTCCAAGACTTCCTGGCTGGTGGGGGCTTCATGACTTCTGTTTATTCAGAAGTATAGTTAGGTTGGTGCTTAGTAAATGTCGGTTAAAAGGGAGATGTGTAAGTCACCAAAGCATATGATTAGCAAATCAGTTATAAGGATTCAGGTTTTAGTGGGACCTCAAGATGTTGTAGAGTGTCCCATAAAATGGGCATTCCATTCCTGCACAAGCGATCATGATTTAGCTCTCAATATAAAGGTCCTGTATACAAAAACACTTCAGAGAAATGGTTTACCAAGGAAAACGTCTATTTATATCTTTATAGGTACCAAGAACAATGATTATGATACGCTGGGAGAAAAGGCAAAGGAAATGCTTTTTATTTTAGATTGAGCACCTAAACAGAAACTGTGATTTCAGTATGAAGAAGGGAAGAGGAAGAACAAGCCGGATCAGAAGACGAAAACTCTTGAGAAGTTCTGGATCAAGAGGAGGTACAGTTTTGATTTTTTTGGGGTCAGTGTTGAAAAAAGGGCTTTTTCGTTACTTGGTATTAGATGCACATAGCTTTCTTCAAGGACACATGGGCACTGTTCACAGAGGGTATTTCTCAGCGAGTACTCTTTGTAAATGCACCATTGTGTTCTTTCTAACCCTTGTGGGAACAAATATATTTATCATTCCTTCAACTGTATCTTCCCTGGAGATGACTTCCTAGTGTCTGTTTTTAGTCCTAACCTCTCTCCTGACCTCTAATTACCAGCAAGGTATCAATGTTTGTATATAGCTTCCTCATTTTGAACTCAGCATAGCCCAGTTTGAATGACCTACTGTTTGTGAAAGTGCGTGGCTAACTAGAAGTTACGGTATTACAATGTTAGATTTTACCAGTTGCTTTCCCTGCCTCTTTGAGATGATCATGTGGTTTTTCTTTTTAGTTTACATTGTTTGTACATTTTAAAACTTACTCCCTTTTATGATAACGCTGAGACAGTTCATTGGAGATTTTCTTTTTCATGGCGATCTGATTAAATAATGATTTTAATCACGATTTTTTCTTCTCATTGGTTAGTGAATGAGAGCTACAAGCCTGAATTTATAGCGCTCAAGAAGTGGCTGAAAGATAGGAAGTTTGAAGATACAAACTTAGTACCTGCTTGTTTTCCAGGTAAGTCTGACCTTTAGTTCTCATGACCTTTGTCACATGCGACCTGTGAGCACAGGTGGCAGAAAAGCACGGGCGAGCCTTGCAGGTGGCTGTGTTCTCTCCGGGGGCGCGTCCTGTATTATGTGTCAAGCCTCCTGCCTTGTAGCTATGATATTTGTGGAGGTGGATTAACATACTTTTCCTTGTTCTAAAAATACAGTGGCTTGTGGGAAAGAATTCCAAAGTGGTGAAATAAAATGCAAAGGTAAAGAAGGGAAACGAAAACAGAAAACTGAGATGCAGGCAGGGATAAAGCTAATGCATAAAGGCCACAACTGTAAAATCTTGCGCACCTGTCAGAGGTGCGCCGCAGATTTGACGCACCTTTCCAGCAGCCTAGACACATCACGGGGCAGTGGCCTGAATCTTAGTGTCTGTGAACCTCGGTTGCTTACCCTGCGGAAGTGCAGGTGTTCCTGGAGCTTAGGCTCGAGGGAAACGTCCTCACTGGGGGACTGGCGTCCTTGTCGGCTCACTTACAGTGTGTCGCGGACCTTTCAAACTGTGCAGGCTGGCGGGATTGTCCCCTAGCTCAGGGGGGGTCAAAGTTGTTTTCTGAGCAGGGGAGGTTCCAAACGCCGACTGAATGCCGTTCTCCGGCGCGGGACTTGAGACAGGGGCCCCGGGAGGCTGGCCGCTGCCCAGGTGCTGGGGGAGGGGCCCTCTGGCTGAGGCTTCGCAGTCCCCTGCCTGAGTAGAGGGGATTACTCTTCTCTTCTGGATTTGAGCAGCTGGTGGTGGAAGTGGAATTAATATTCTTTTCCGGAAACTGAGCAGCTTGTCACGGACTCTGGATTAGCATTCTCTTCTGGAATATTCTCTTACAGAAGTCGGGCCGCTCGCGTGGCTGTGCGCCTGTGCGCGGGGCTGCCCAGCTCTGCCCACAAGTGGGCTTGGGGTGGCCATGCAGGGGGAGGACCGCGATGCTCTTCTGAAGGCCGTGGGTCCGCTGTGGCGGAGTCCGCGCCACAGGTCGGGGCAGGTGCGTGACCCGACAGCACATTCAAGACTTTCAAATCCTGTGCTTCCGAACGCTCTCCTTAGCCACCGAAATGATTATTCCAATACCCGCTAGGTTATTTCAGTGAGTAAATTCACGTCCTTATACATCACCTAAGGTAAACGATCTGCCACGTGGGCCCCTCGCTGAATTGGGTGATGCGCTGGAAGTGGCTCCTGTGCGTCAGTCATACACGATGACTTTGGGCTAAAATACTTGTTTGAGCCGGTTTCTGTTGGGCCTCTCTTGATGATGGTGAATCATATTTGTCGGTCTGTGACAGAACATTCCTATTTTGGTGTGTCAAGGGGCACCCAGTTTGCCTTAAGAAGGATAGATTTAAAATTATCAAGCAGGAATTGACATACAGTTTAAATGGAATGCCTAAAAATAAGTAATCTGTTTTTAATTGGGAGCAGTGAAGAGTTACTGTTTCTAAAAGTAGGAAAAAGTTTCTCGGGGCCTCCCCACCGCAGATGCATAGTCATGGAGGGGCTAAAGCAAAATGGTTTGGCTGTGAGCAGAGCCCACAGCTTACAGTTTTTGTGTGCAAGGAACCTTCTGTCTTGGTCGGCTCGGGCTAGCTTGAGCGAACCACCGTAGGCGGGGGGCTTAAACAGCAGCGTGGTTCTCAGGGTTCTGGAGGCTGGGAAGCGCAGGATCGTGGCGCAGGCAGATTCAGGGTCTGGTGAGGCTGATTCCTGGTTTGCGAATGGCCACCCTTTCCTTGTCTCTTCCCGCGGGCGGAGCACAGGTGACGCTCTCTGGCTGTTTTTATAAGGCACTTTTTAGAAGCCCATTTACGAGGACTGCGTCCTGTGACCTTAGGGTTCACCATGTGAGTTCAGAGGGGAAGGGGGACACAGACTTTCAGTCTCTTAACGCCTTCTCCAGGTCCTTCATGCACCTTCAGCTCTTCGTCAGCGCATGGTGGAAAGAAACAGTTATGGCACTCTGTCAAAATCTGCAGAATTGGGGGGAATTAATTCTTAGTTTGTGGTGCGGCAAGGCGAGGATCCTGAGACGCAAGCAGGACTCAGCCTTCAGTCTCCCACCTGCTTTATGCTGCGGGGCTGACCCCGGCGTCCCCTTCACCACCCAGGCGCCGGTGGCGGCAGGCAGGCAGGCCCCCGGCGGGTTTGCGGCAGCGCGAACTGTGAGGCGGTGGGAGACTGTGACAAGCGTTACTTTGATGAGGTCCGAGTGGCCGCCCCCTACCTTGCCTTAGTGAGCGCAGGTTTTATTGTGATCTCTTTTCTGACCTCAAACACTGTATTGTAGAAACACAAGTGAAGTGTCTTCCAGATTTATCCCACGGGCCAGGTTCTGTTCATATCCAGGGTGGGAAACACAGGTTTACAGCCGTGAGTACATAAAACACACACTTCATACTTATTACTTACTGATTATTGTATTGTCGATGTGTATTACAAACGTAACTCTACTTTTGTCCACCTCTGTATATGTTTGGCGATACATTTCCACTTATGTTGTCATATAAGTCTTTTAAGGATGCTCCCGGGGGCGGGGGGACGGGGGTCGTTTTCTTAGTTATTGATCCCAGCAAGGGCTCTGGCCCACAGGGATGAGCACCTCCCCCAGGGGACACACAGAAGAAATTTTTAAAGCTGAAACCATGTGTCTGAGTAGGTGGGCTGCTTCAGGGTGGGGGGATGAGCCAGGACTCAGCAAATCAGAGCTGCCAGATCCCTGACTGAGGACGAGAGGCAGGGGTTGCCCCCATGAACCAGGAACTCCCATTCGTTCTGCAGGCTGACCTCTGCCGATTTATGTCCCCTCCTGGCTGAGAGAAAACATCCAGAGCTATGAATTTGAAGAGAGGAGCACTCTGGACCCGTGCAGTAGTCACTGGTCATGGCAAGCGTGTGCCTGCCAGAGAAGCCGCCCCTGACTTGCAGCAGGGGAGCCGTCGGCAGGCAGGGCTCACCTTCTGGGTGGTGGAGGTGGAAGGCCCTGTAGCCGTCATGGCTCTGGCGACGGCCGTGGCTTGCAGGGAGCCACTGGCGCTGGGCCCACCCCCCCAGCTCGCCCAGGGAAGGAGCGCACCCAGTCTAACGGGGCGCCTGGTCAAGGAGGGAAGGGTGCAGTCCACAGGCTTTGAGGGGCCTGACTGGGTGTTACCGGTCAGTCAGTCAAAGGGGTCTCAAGTCATTACGGGGAAAGCGGGGCCTGGGAGAAGGGGCCTGCGGCCTCTGAGGCCGGGCGGGCGTGAGGAGCGGCGCCCCGCCCCCAGGCTGGTGGGCCCCGGGGGAGCGGGGTCCGCTCGCAGGCGCCTGTCAGCGGCCCAGCAGCAAACCTGGAGGAAGTCATCGTCTCTAGGTCTCCGCTCTGAAGCTTGCTTCGCCCGCTGAGGGCTACGCACCTGAAGGGAGGGCAGGACGCTCTCCGGGGTCGCCTCTGGGGCCGGGGGGTCAGAGGACACGAGATGCCCAGCCTCAGCGCTGTGTAACCGTGAAGTTCATCCACGTCTTTGTTCCCAGGGCCCCTGTGAGCCCTGGGAGCTGCCGTGTGGCTCACCCGCTCTCTGTCTTTGTGTTCCCAGATACGGGAAGAGGGCTGATGAGCAAAACGCCCCTGCAGGTGAGAATTTTTCTCTTCTCCTCGGAACCCAGTGTAGATTTTGCTGCTTTGTTCTTGTGGTTTAAATCAAGTGCATTAAAAATATTCCAGACATACAGGCATTTTTTTACCTAATAGGTATGTTTTAATATAATTCTGTCAGTTAGAACCTAGTTTGCTTCATACAAGAGACAAATGCAAGGTAACAGCGTGTAAACAGAGAAGTTTACTCTGCGCGCAGGTGAGCAGGCCTGGGCAGGCAGCCCTGGCTGGGGTGGCGACCCGCGGCCACGCGCCCGGGCTCTCTGTCGCTCTCTGCGCGCGGCCGTAGCGGGGCCCCGCATCCTCTGGTCCGGCCTGGGGTGCCCGGCGCCCGGGCAGCAGGGCCGAGCAAGGGGGCGAGGAAGGGCAGGCAGCTGTCCTCCCCCAAGGAAATCCCAGCTCTGTCGCGCCTGCCAGTGCCCAGGTGAGTGAAAAATACCTCAGTGAGGCGGGAGAGAGGCTTGTTGGCGTCGGCAACCAGCAGTCTCTGCCACGGCACGTTCACAGGTCGGGTCGTACTTTCAACCGGGGCAGGGCTGTGCTCCTCGGAGGGACCCTGCACAGTAGAGGGGGTAGAGCGAGCGAGTGGGGGAGGAGGGGGCTCCGAGCCGGTCCCCAGGTGCTGCGCTCGCTCCTCACCCCCTTGGCGTCTGTTTCCTCCCCTGGACAGCGAGGAGCTGGGCGACCCTGGGGGGTAGGGGGCTGTAGGGGGGAGAGCCAAGGCCTGTGTAGCTCTTCCTGAGCTAGATAGAGGACTCCTCTCACATACTTCTCTGTAAAGCTGCATGTTAATTCCTTAATTTATTTTTCATTATTTTTATTTAAATTATTTAATTTTAATTTTTTTTATTTTTTAAAATATTTTATTTATTTATTTTTAGACAGAGGAGAAGGGAGGAAGAAAGAAAGGGAGAGAAACACCCATGTGTGGCTGCCTCTCGCACACCCCGCACCGAGAACTGGGCCCGCAACCCAGGCCTGTGCCCTGACTGGGAATTGAACCAGCGACCCTTTGGTTCACAGGCTGGCGCTCAGTCCACTGAGCCACACCAGCCAGGGCTTTAGTTTCTTAATGTATATAAAACCCAGCCATGTACATGTGTTTATTGTCAAGAATGGTAACTAAATGTTGTAATTCTACTATGCTATTTTAAATTTTTAATTATTTTACAATTTTTAATTGTGACAAAATATACAAAACATAAAATTTATCATCTTAACCATTTTCAGTATGCAGCTTATTAAGAATGTTCACATTGTTGTGTAATATTTCTGTTTTTTGAGTGGAGGTGTAATTCATTCTGCAGTGGAATGTGGGGAGGGGAAACATACCTCTCATGTATCCAGCAGTAACTGTAAGTTATTTTTGTTTAGATCATGAAATGATAATTGACAGCTTCTCTACATGTACTTTTAAATACGACTTTTTCATTAGACTTTTTGGAAATTGAGATATATTTCACACATAGTAAAATACACCAAATTTTAGTATCTAGTTTTATGAGTTTTGATGATGATGATATTTACCCCAGTCAGGATATAGAACATTTTAGCAAGTGGTTCTTAAAAATCAGAAAGTCGCCCTGGCTGGCGTGGCTCAGTGGACGGAGCACCAGCGGGCGGATTGAAGGGTCGCTGGTTCGATTCCCAGTCAGGGCACACGCCTGGGTTGTGGGCCAGGTCCCCAGCTGGGGGCATGCGAGAGGCAACTGATTGATGGCTCTCTTGCACATGGATGTTTCTCTCCCTCTCTTTCCCTCTCTCTAAAAGTAAACAAATAAAATCTTAAAAAATCAGAGAGTCATGGCTATTGGTACAGGGACGGCAGTGGTCATCCAGCTTCACCTCGATTTACAGAAATGGAACCCAGATGATTTTTGGCTGAAATTTTTAACTTTGGTGCCAGCTATAACGAAAGCAAGATCTTACACCTGGCTTCTGAGTGCTTTGTTCCTGGTGTGGGTTACCAGGCATCTTAATCTTTCTTCCTGTTTCTGTCTCCGTGGGGGGAACTGAAATGCTATACTTTTGCAGGCAGTAAGATGAGGTCCTGTCCTTAGCTGGGGCACTGGCAACGTGGAGGGGAGGCCGTGGCCGGGCGTACTCACTGGAGACAGGAGCTGCAAGGGGTGGGGGGTGGGGGGTTTGCGTGGCTCCTGTCTTTCCTGAAGGTAGCGTGATTTCCGGTCCTGAGAAGGTGAAGGAACAATTTGGTTTGAGTTGCCCGGTGCTTCCACATTCCCTTCTGGTGAAAGGTTGGCTAGTGGTGGCTGTCAGTCCCACTGTTGAACTTTCATTCCCGTCGGGGTCGCAAGGCCTGCGTGGGAGCCGCCTTGCCTCTGCCCGCTGGCTCAGGGGCGTGGGGGTCAGTCCGTTGGGGGGCCCCGTGGTGGTCTGAGGGTGGGTGGTTCTGGGCCCGTGGGCGAGGATGGTAGAAAGAGGCCTTGACAAGATGCGCACTCACAGGCCAACCCCAGAGCTCGGGCGTGCTAAACTTGACTTTCTCTTTTGGTAAGGAGGGACAGGTGATTGTGTCGTTGCCTGAGAGTTGCCTGCTCACCACGGACACAGTGATTAGGAGCTACTTAGGGCCATACGTCGCTAAGTAAGTGACCACACCCATGCTTACCTGGTGCCCTTGCTTCTCCCTTCAAGTCCATGGCGTTGGCAGATCTGTCACCTAAGGCAGAGCTCACAGGACCCAGCTCCTCTGCACAGCGGATACCTGCAGTGATGCGGAAGGTCCACTCTGTCCGCTGAGGCTTTGTCTTAGCTCACTGTAAACTGCATTTGAACGCTTTCTAACAGGCTGCATGGGAGGTGGGTTTGCATCCTGACCTGTCACTTACAGAAAGTAAAGATTAAATGGGGCAATGGAGGTAAATCTCCCTGAGGCCTCGACTCATAGGAGCCTGTTCTCCATCACAGTAGAGCTTGACAAATATTAATCACTCTTATTTTTACCCTATGGTATTTGCTTGAGTTCTCTTTCAACTCTGAAGCGCTGTTGACATCGTGAAAGAGTTAGTTTTACTTAGCCTAGAAGAGAGGAGGCCAGTACTGGCGTGGAGAACCATTTTCTGGCACTTGCTGTAGTGGGCCTTTGTTTGGGGGACTCTCTGAGGACGGCGTGCGTGAGATCCCCAGCAGGCGGGTTTCTAAGTCATGAGGGTTGAAAGATTGTATTGTTTCTTAACCCAGGCTAAGCTCTGGACCTGTCCTCCTACCCCCACCCCACTTTGCCTTGGAGGAGGCCCGCCGCATCATCTTTGGCCTGAGTAGAGGCAAGGATGCTCCTAGTATTAATATTTTCTGTATCATTCTGAAATTTTGAGTAGACTCTATGGTAATATAGGAATCTGGACTTTGAAGGATTAATGTAAACTTTCTAAATACACTCTTGCGGCATGAGATCTTTTTATTGGGAAGAGATGAAAACACTGCAGTGTATAATTTGCAATAGAGATGGTAACTTTAGGATTAAAATTGAAATAGCTGCAGGTACCCAGTGGATGAGGCAAGTCTAGAGTCTTTCCATCAGTTTTTTCTTCCATCAAGTTTTATGTCATTATCCAAATGAAACAAGTGACTTTCTCCAAAAGCTTTAAAACCAGAGAACCAAGCTGGGGGCAAAGAGATGTTTTGCAAAAAGCAATCCCTTGCAAACAAGCTGGGACTCGGGTTAGTGAGTCCACCCTTGTGTCGACGTGACTTGCTCGGAGGACTTGGGTTGGGGTGCTCTCCGGAGAGGACCCTTGGAGGAAGGAAGGCCCGCCCGCGGGGGCAGGACGGAAGCAGGGCGAGGGGTGGCTGTGGCCTGGCCCTATGGGCGCCAAACACGCCCCAGGAGGTCGGTGTCTTCCAGTAGAGTAACTGCTTCAATCTGGCTTTCGATTTTGAAAGGTGGCAGCCTCCTCCATCTCCTCTGCTGGCTCTGTGCACCTTCTTAGTTGCAGAAAGGCATGCTGGGGATCGGTCTCCCTGGAAGCCTTACCTGGAGATTCTACCGAAGGCCTACACCTGCCCCGTTTGCTTGGAGCCGGAAGTGGTGGATCTTCTCCCAGGACCTCTGAAGGCGAAGGCCAGGGAGCAGAGAGCGCATGTGCAGGAGTTGTTTGCGTCCTCCAGAGCCTTCTTCTCCTCCCTGCAGCCGCTGTTCCCTGTGCCCGTGGAGAGCATCTTCAGCTACAGCGCCTTCCTATGGGCCTGGGGCACCGTCAACACCAGGGCTGTGTACCTGGAGCGTGGGCGGAGGCCGTGCTTTTCCGCGGAGCCAGACACCTGTGCCCTGGCCCCATACCTGGATCTGCTGAATCACAGCCCCACCGTCCAGGTGAGACCTTGACTGGGGCCCACACGTTCTGCTGCGATAGGAGGACTCTGACATATAGAACCTGGGACCTAGAATGCAGGTGACCACAGGGAAGGGTGCAGCTGGCTTTAGGCGGCCCTGCCTGCCGTCAGGTATGCGCCTGCCTTTGCCCCCAGGCCCGCCTTCCCTCCTGGCTTCCCGGTCCTTTGCCCGGTCCCCCTGCTCTCCGGGCTGGCAGCCGGCGCTGTACCCACAGGGCGGCCCTAACCAGGCGCCCGTCCCAGCCCCTCCTGTGGAGCGCAGTCCCCCTTCCGCCCTCCAGGAGCTGGCGCTGCAGTCTGGCCTGCTCGCCCGGCCCATTCCCTTTTACCCTGGGTGTCGCTGTGGCCTTGAACTTCGCTGTGATCACTGATGAGCTCACTTCTCACCCCCCTGAGCTCGGCAGTCATGGAGGCCGGGGACTTCGCCCCGTTCCTCTGTGTGGCCTCAGGGCTCAGCTCGGGCCAGCCTGTCGTAGGCTCTCCCCAAGCCTTTATTGAGTGGATAAGTGTTTGTGCAGAAAAGGGGTCTGGGAAATGAACGCACCCCGCTGTGGGAGACAGTCGCAGACCCCCGACCGCAGCCCTCCCCCGGCACAGGGGTCAGGGTTCTGCCGTGGCCTGCTGGGCAAGGGCCTGCGCGAGGCCAGAGGGTGCCTTGCGTCGGCTCCCCGTCACCCACCCAGGGTGCCCGTGGCGGCACACTGGCCGGGACCCTTCAGCTGTTCCCTTCATGCCCCACGCCGCCTGGGCTGACCCGTGACCCTGTTAGCCCTTGGCTGCTGGAGTAGAGCGCGGGGGGCCCTCCGCGTGCTTTCCAAGGCCAGGACAGTCCCCTTACCCGTCTGCCTGTCACTCCTGTGGAAAGCTGTGTCTTTGACAGCCGTGAGCAAAGGGGGCCGGACGAGGAGGGTGTTTCTGGGGTGGAGGTCGGTGAAATGATGCCGGGGGCGTGTAGGACCATGGGAGGCCGGCCCAGGGACTCCGTCGCTGTGGGTGTGACTTTATTTTTGTGGGGCCGTTAGTGCATTTCTGCCCCAGACCGGTAACTTTAGAGCTGAGTGTGGGGGTCCGGCCTGTTATATGCAGCCTGTGGGCGTGTGGTCCAAGGGCCCCGGATGGGCCTCGGACGGCCGACTCCCGGCCTGCAGTGCGTGGCAGCTGGCCTGTGGCCTGGAGCACCACACCACAGCCCCGATCTGTTGCAGGTGCTCAAGGTAGGAATTCGGCCTGTGGCTCCCCCGCACCGCGCTGGGACCTGTGCCTGCTCCTCGCTGGGGGTGAGGGGTGGGGGAGTGGTCAGGCTGCTTGTTCTCTTCCTCCAGGCCTGTCAACTTACAAAATTGCCGCAGAACCTGGTGTGACAGGATCAACCAATAGGACCACCCAATAGGACCACGCTCCTAGGCTACCTATTGTACGACTTGAAATTCTCTGGGCCTCGCAGGGCCTCGGAGGCCTGACGGCGAGTCCTCTGCCCTCACCGGGCAGCGCCCCCACCTGGCTAGTTGCTGTCAGCCAGACTAGCTGCCCCCACCCGGCCCTCAGCCTACGAGGTCTGGCCTCCCACCCAGCGCTCGGAATTACTCAGACAAGCCAGTCATGTCTCCTCAGGGGAACCCAGGGAACTGGGACCCGCCTTTACTCCAAGGCCTGCCTCCGGCGGCCCCTGCTGGCGGCTGCTCCTGAGAGCAGCCTGCGTGGCCTCTCCCGGCCTTCCCCAGAGCCCGCCGACCAGCGCCGGCCGTTGGCAGGTGGCTCGTGGTTGCCCACCCCCAGCACCCCGGGCAGGACCGCTTCCCCCCAGGGGGTGAGTGGAGGCGAGTGCGGGCTGGGGGGGCGGGGCGCTGCAGTGGGGACCGGTGCTGTTCCCAGTGTCGGCCGAGTCAGGGGCGAGTGTCTGGGGGGACACCTGGCTTAAATCAGGGCAGTGACTCAGTCTTTTTAGTTTTCTTTTCTGCTTTATAAAGCTCTTGACCCAGATGGTTCTTTATAGGTGAAAGCGGCATTTAATGAGGAAACTCGCTGTTACGAGATCCGAACAGGCTCACGCTGGAGGCAGCACGAGGAGGTGCTCATCTGCTACGGCCCCCACGACAACCAGCGGCTGTTCCTGGAGTACGGCTTCGTCGCCCCTGGCAACCCGCACGCCTGTGTGCGCGTCGCACAAGGTCAGGGTTTTCTGATCACTAAGATGATAGAAACTTTTTCCCCACCTGGGGATGGGTTATTTTAAGTTTTAATAAAAAGGGCAAACTTTAAAATGCCTATTGTTTATATTCTCCTAGGTAGGGCTGGCCTTACTCTACTCCCTGTGCAATTGCAGTGATGAAGTGCAGACAACAAAGTGCACTTTGGTTGATCTGGTTGATCCTGTCACATGGGTTCTGCGGCAGTTTTGTGAGTTGACGGTGCAATATCGACACTGACGATAAGACGAACCAAGAAGGGTTTTATTGCATTAGGTCAGGGAGTAGAGTGGAAGAAAAGGAAACATGCTAAGGAAATAAATATATTGGCAGATGGAAAGCAAAGGAAATTTTTGTACTGAGACATTTCACTGTCACTAAAGATAGAAAAGGATTAGAAAGCAACAAATAATAGCTATTTATTAAGCACCTATTATATCTAAATCACTATGTTAATCACAGAGATAAATATATTACACAGTCCTTGTTTTGGGGTTTAGTGCCGCAATGAAATACTGATTTCTCTTTCCCTTTTATTGGTCCCCTGACCTGGGATCAAACCCACAGCCTTGGTGTATCGGGTCGATGCTCTAACCAACTGAGCTTGTGACCTATTAACTAAGCTGTCATCATTGGTATGACTGTTTTTTTTAAAGCTTTACATTTTTTTCCTTAAGATTTTATTTACTTCTAGAGAGAGGGAAAGGAAGGGTGAAAGAGAGAGAGAGAAACATCAATGTGTGAGAGAGACATTGATCAGCTGTATCTCACACACCTATAACTGGGGACCTGGCCCGCAACCCAGGAATGTGCCTGGGCTGGGCATTGAACTGGTGACCTTTCAGTTCACAGGCCGATGCTCGGTCCCTGAGCCACACTAGCCAGAGCCATATGGCTATGTTTTAAGGTAATAATTTAGCTATTAAATGTATGCTGTGAAAATGCTAAATACGGTATGAAAAGCAGCACATAGAAGGCCGATTTGTCCCCCCTTCTCTTGAAGCAGCAGAGAACAGCTCTGTAGGCAGGAAGGAATGGCCCGAGTTACCAAGTGCATAATTTGAGGTGGTTTTACTACAAGTTCTAGTGGAAATGGAATCTTGGGTGGTCATACTGCCCCATCCTAAAGGCAGGATGGTTAAGCTGTTTATGGAAGTGAAATAGAAAAGCGAGACCGGGGCCATGCGCGAGTCTCAGGAAACCAGCTTGGAGACCGGACTCGGGTTATCGAACGGCTGCACTGTCGATGGCCCTGAAGTGCTGACTTGTGAACAACATTTACGTATTAAGTGTCACTGCGTTTAAAAACTAAAAGCAAATCTTAAAAGAGCATTTAAAAGTAGAAAAATCTCTCCTGATTCTATTACCCCAAGGAGCTTTGTCAGTTTTTGCATATTCACTTTCAGTCGCTTACGACTGTGACCACGGGCAGCTGGCCACTGTGAGTTCTGGCGTTTGGGGACCCAGCCCTGTGGCCGTCCTCTGGCGAATGTGCAGGGCCTGCCCTCGCGGCGGGCACATTCCCGGCAGCCCTGCCGGCGCCTCTGCTGCCCGGTCTGCTGGTCGCCTTGCTCGGTGGGCGCGTGAGCCGGCGTGGAGTGTGGTCCTCCACCTTGGAGTTCTTGTGGCTCTTCTAGAGCTGACAACGGTCTCATTGAGTTGGACTTGAGTACATTTTTTCTTTTGGTGTGATTTAGGTAAAACAGTTCACATTATGTTTTGATTGCCAGTGGGAGGGAAAGTAAGCTGAGAAGGAAAGGTTATATTTTTGTCTCAATTACACCCTAAATCTCAGGCTGATTTTTTTTTTTTATGTAGATGTGCTTGTTAAATATCTTCCAGCAACAGATAAACAGATGAACAAAAAGATTTCCATTTTAAAGGACCATGACTTTATAGAGTAAGTTTTTTTCTCTCTCTCAGAATTGTTCCATCCGGACATTTTGATGAAAAAATTGAGGGCTAGGGTTTCTGTAGGGGCAAGTGACCTTTTGTCTCACCAGCGGACAGGTAGGTATTTACTGAGCACGTCCTGCGTGCAGTGACATGTGCTGGACGTTGTGGGGCACACGGGAGTGGAAGATACTTGTCCAGAAACTTTTTCAGGGACGTGAGATACCAGCTTGGAACATGGAACTCTTGTCCCATGACTGAGCCCTGCATGTATTGACGGGCGGCCCCGTGCGAGCGCGTCTCTAGTGGGTGGGGAGGCGAGCTGGCCCCCGCGCCCCCGCTGGCGTGGCACAGGCTCCTGGAACGGGGGCGGCTGGCGCCCTCACGCAGCCAGCGTGGGCAGGGCTCGAGGCGCTGCCTTTCAGGGCTGCTTCTGTAGACAGACCTAAGCTACGGCAGCCCGGCCACAGTGTGAGGCCCTCCAGCGTGGGGGCAGCCACCAGGGGGCCCCCGGGCTCATCCAGATTCTTCTCTTGTATCTTGCTGTCACCTGTGGTGCCAGCCTTCCTGCTAGGACCCCCCCATCCCATCTCAGCCACTTACCAAATACATTGGAAAGCAGCTTTTTACTTTTTTAACACGAGAGAATTGTCTGTTACTCGGGCGTTGTGCGGAAGCACTGGCAGACTTGCCTTTCTCCCTTGTCTTTGTGACCCAGGTCGTGGGTTACCAGTCTCGGGGCTGCTTGGGAAAAGTGTTCGGCCTTCAGCCATTTGCCGTGGTGTCGGTGTCGTGGAGCACTGAGCTGACGGCCTGTCCTTGTTCCTCTACTTCAGGAATCTGACGTTCGGATGGGATGGCCCGTCGTGGAGGTTACTCACAGCCCTTAAGCTGTTGTGTCTGCGAGCTGGCGAGCTGTAAGTCCTGCGCGCCGGCCCGAGCCGCGGCTCCCGCCCGGGATGCCGGCTGTCCTGTCTGTCGGGGCTGCTGCCTCCCTGCCCTGCGTCGCTCGCCCGTGGGGTGGGGGTCTCACTTTGCAGTTCTCACCGTTTCTGGAGTTCTGGTTTTGGCATCCTAATCAGAGCACATGTTCCGGAGAGCTTTTGGTCTCTGCTCAGAAGTTTCCCCTGGCAGCCGCAGCCCCTTGTTCAGGGCAAACCCGCCAGACGTGTGGGCACTGCTGCCGTCCCGAGGGGTCTGAGGAGGTGGTGGGTTCTTCCCAGGAGCCAGCGGAGCTCCTGACCCAGTTCTGCCCTGGGGGCAGCTCCAGACCCCTGGCCAAGGAGAGGCCTGATGTTTTCATCGCGGGGGCAGGTCGAGGCGCCCCTGGTGCGGACACGGGTCCTGGCCAGGCTCCTGGTCCTTCCCCAGCGCGGCGCTCCGTGGCCGTGCGCGCTGGGCGGAGCCCCTGCAGCCCAGGAGGAGGGGGCGCTCGGAGGGAGACCGCGGGTGGGGGCCCCCCCGGAGACAGCACAGCGTCCCCAGCGGTGGGGAGGGCTGGCCGAGATGATGCCGAAAGGGCCTCAGCGCCCTGCCTGTAGGTGGGGGCGCTCATCCTGGACGCCTCTTGTGCTGTGACGTCGCTCCCTCTTCTTCTGTGGGGACCTGGGGAGAAAAGTCACTCCCCGGCCTGCCGCCCCAGAAATGGCTGTGTTTACCCTCAGCAGAGGCTGGGGCCCTGCCTTACAGACACCGACCCCTGTGTCTGCAGGTGTCCCGCTTCCCCATTGGCTGGAAACTCCCAGGTTGGCGCTCCCTCGGAAGTGCGGCTTCTCCCGGCTGCATCTCATCTCCCTGCTCTCCTTCCTTTGTCTTGTTCTCCCCGTGCATTCGCCTGACTTTTGCTTTACCTTGGGTGTTCCTGCGTAAGCTTCTTTTACGCCTTCTTGGAGAAAGGTGCATGTCCTTCCCGGGCAAGCCAGCCTCAGATTCAGCACAACGGTGTTTCCAGAGGCCGCGCTGAGGCTGCCTTCCTCCCTTGGCGCTGCTTCTCCCCGTCTGGCTGTGGGTGTTGAGGCTCTGCCTTGGGTCAGCTTGCCACCGGGGGTGAGCGCTTCCCCTTTCCCATTCGCGGTTTCTTTGTGTCTCACATGGGGATAGTGGCGCTTTCTCTGCAGGTAACTGAGGATTAAATTGGCCAATGGTTTTGTGTGAAGTACTGTGCCTGCCTGTGGTTATTCTTCCCTTTCCTTCCCGAGAAGTCACTATTCCTGAAGTTTCAACCATCATCCGAGACTACTTCCTGTGTGGCTTATCAGGGTGCTGCATTTATGAGCACCTTCTGTTTACTCGCACTTGGATGTTGCCTCGGTCACCTTGCCTTTCCCTTCCTAGGCCGCCTCCACTTGCGGTTCTGCACGTGCACACTCTGCCCCTCCACCCTCCCTCCGCCTGTGCCTCTGCCCCGCGCCCGTGGCTGACTCTGCCGCCTCCTGGCCCGGAATCCCGCTGCGGCTCCCTCTTGCCAACAGGGACCGCACGCTTGCCTGCCCCCAGCCCCAGCTCCCACAGACGTCTGGTGCAGCCGCACTGGACGCCCTGCACGGGGAGGGGCTGCCACTGCAGACCCTGCTTTCCCCCCCAGGGCTTCTCACTTTGTGAAACGCGTTCCCTTTTGGGAAAGCCTGTCGCTTGAAGAGAAGGAAGAATCCGCCTTTTGGCTTCTTAGTCCTTTCAGCTGTGGACTCACCTTCCTGTTCTGTCTCCCGCTCTGTTCCCGTGGCCGGTGGACGTGGCCGTGCTCTCTGACCTGCCAGACCCAGGGTGGCGTGATCATAAGGGAGCCAGGCCCCTGCTTCTTAGTCTTGGCCGCTCCTCCTCCTTGCAGACCTCCTCCGCTGCCGCGCAGGGGCTGCACGGGGCGGGGCGCGGGGCGGTTCCCGGAGGCTAGGACAGCCGTGTGAAAGTCGTCTCTATTTTTTGAGACCCTGTTGAAATGATCTTATTAAACATTTTGGTTCTAGCCCATGCTGGAAAAAAGTACTTCTTGGCGAAATAATTTCAGATACAAATGAGAAGGCGAGTCTGGACATCGCCCAGAAAATATGCTATCATTTCATAGAGGAGGCCAATGCTATGCTGCAGAAGGTATGTTTTTGCAATTTTGCATCTTTTTCTTAAAGAAGGCTTTTGATGAAGAAGTTTCTTGTTTTGGACTTGTCAGATGCGGTGGTACACCTTAGGGCGTTGTTTATTGCTTTATTTCAAGGAACGTCAATGTAATCTGTTTTTTGATTGTTAACATTGTGTCTGAATCTTTTATTATTATTTTTTTCTTGGCAATTTCATTCTTTTTTTTTAAAAGTGAACTTTTAGTGTATTTTTTTTCCATTACCATTTATCCCTCTTATAGCCTATTCCACCACACCCTCTTCCCCCCGGAATCACCACATTATTGTCTGTGTCCATGAGTCCTTGAACCTTTTAATAGGTGAAATTATTGCATGAATTCTTGGTAATTGATTTTTAAGTACTTTTTCCCTTTTCTTTTTATTTAGTAAATGTTATAATTAAATGAGAAAGCTCATTTGAATGAAAACATTACTAGGATTTAAAACATTTTAATGAACCTTGAAGACAACATTGTGCTAAGTGAAATAAACCAGAATGCAAAAAAGACAAACATTGTGTAATTCCACTGTTATGAGATACCTAGGACAGGCATCTCATAACAGTGGAATTACATTACGGGGAGACTGACTGCCGAGGGGGCGGGGCGGGGCGGGGCGGGGCGGGGCAGCGGGAGCAAGTGCAGTGTGTACCTTGGCGGAGTTGCCGCGATCGATCGAACTGTTCTGGTCGTGATTACGTAACACTGTGAACGTAATGCTACTGCATTGCACATTTAAAAACACTCAAAGTGGTACATGTTATGCACATTTTATTACGATTAAAAATTTTAAAAATGACTTCCAGGTTTCTCACATGAAAGATAAAGAAACTGCTCTGATGACCCAGCTCTCTTTGGCTGAAACCCTGTGGAATGAAGAGCTCAGGGTTCTGCAGGCATCTGCCGAGACCCTGACCCGCCTGCAGACGGAGCTCTGCTGTGACTCACCGAGGGGCAATCGCTTGCCTCTGGTGGGGGGTGTGGCTTCTTAATCGTTTTTACAGTAAAGTTTGCTTTACATAGAATCTTGTGCATTCAGCGGGTGGTTTCTATTAAACAATGATGTACTCACTCCTCTGCCTCTCCTTTCTTTGTGGGATTGAGAGGTGGCTGCTCCTGGGACTGAGAAGGATGTTGGCCGGGCGGCAGGGCGGCAGGTTCTGGGACTCTGTCCCTGAGGAAGGAGGCGCCATCCTAACGGTGTGGCTAAAAATCTCAAAATCAACAGCAGTCCTGACGGAAGGAACCTGAGGATGGTGCAGAGCTGAATGAGAGCCGAGCCTCAGAGCTGGAGTCAGCGGGCTCCGTGGGTGGTCTCCCTTCCTTGGGGTTCCAGCTGCTGCTGCTGCTGCTCTGAGTCAGCAGCCGCGAAAGGGTGAGAAGTTGTGCTGCTTGTGTTCTGGCACCACAGGGCTGGGGCGCCCCGCTGGTGGGTGGCTTTGGCACGGGGACTGCTGGACAGTCCTGGGTTCCAGCCTTGACGCTCAGCTGCTCTGAGCGGAGCAAACCACCTCGAATTTCCCCCCTTGACTTCTCAGCAGAACCTGAGAGCGTGGGCTGGAAGGGTGGTTCCCCTGCGCTCCAGCCTCGCACGCCCCACTCAACAGAGGGGCCCGGGGGCTGGGAGGGGTGGGGTCAGCAGAGGCCCAGGGGACGCCACTCACCACCCCGCCGCACGGCTCTGGGAGACCCAGGGAACCAGATGATGAGAGGGACCGCGGGCTGACATAGTGAACGGAACGTTAATTAGCCACTGTTACACCCAGAAACGTGGGGCCACCTCCGCCCTGCCATTCAGTTTCCCAGGACATGTTTAAGTCCCGTCCCTGATGCCCCTTCACCACTCTCTGTGTGGTGGGAGCTCGCTCCTCTTTTATTCTGCCCTCCTCAGGGTGGCGCGGGGAGGGTCTGGAGGAAAAATTCTCATGCTCAGTGGCCGTGGAGAGGAATTACGAGTTGCTACCTTTTTTCTTTTAAAAAACAATTGTGATGGCATTTTAGGCCATTGACCTGCCTCTGAGTGTCATTTTATAGCAAGTGTGCTCTGAACAGTGCTTCTGAGACCCTGGACCTGGATTGATGTTCACTTGCATTCAGGACAGCTGGGGGGTTGGGCGCGGCCAGAGCTGGTACCTCTCCTACCACAGGAGCAAGTACGTGTCTGCTATAAAACCGGGACACTAGCCAAACACGCGAGGCCTTCGCGCGCAGGGCTGTACTGAAGCCTGCCGTGCCCCCGCGTCACAGGGAAGGAGGCGAACTGTCTACGGCTCCACACTCGGTGCGCAGTGGGGTGCACAGGCCGCTCACGTGCCCTCAGCGCAACCGCTGCTCCCAGTGCCGTGGGTCTGTGTCCAGAGCTCACCGTGCCGTCCTCATGTAGGGACAGAGTTCACGGTCCCCTGCCCGTCGTCAGGGTTTTCAGCTGGCGCCGCACGTGCAGGGAGTGACGCTGCTTCCAGTCGCACTCTGACGGTCTTGTTGCGGGGGCATCTGAGGGGTGACATCGCTCTCCTTGCCCCGCACTGGGAATGTCGCGATGGAAAGCGTGGTGGGAGCCCCGCCAGCCAGCGCAGCCTGGCCGGCCTGTGCCGCGTGCAGCTCCCTGCTGGGCAAGGCCGGAGCGTGTGCTGACGGCGGCGGACGGTCCCTGGTTTGGGAAGCCAGGGCCGCACCCCTCCGCCCTATGGACGCTGCTTCTCGGCCCACGTGCCCTTCGCACATGGGCACAGGGAGGGAGGTGTAGGGGGAGCGTTCAGGGGACACGTTGGGGTTCCCAGGAGGAGGGCGTTTCCCCTAAATGTTCCCTTGCTGTCTTGTACCCTGAAGCAGAGCTTATCCAACCACTGACCGGGGACGAAGGCCTAGCCGGCCCTGCAGGTCTTCCAGGTTATTCCTGGGCTCTGCCCTGCGCGGCCTCGCCACCTGGGGAGCCTGGCTGTGGCCAGCACAGCCGGGTCTCAGGGTGTCTGCCCGGGGCCCAGGTTCGTGCAGGTGCGCCGACTGAGAGCCGCCATCCCATTCCGATCTCAATCCTTACTCTTCTGTTTTGTATCCTATTCAGAACCAGGGCGGGAAGAGGAGGCAGTCCCACTAAAATCCTCGATGGGCTTTGGCCTCGAGGGCCCTCCTGGTAAGGCGTGCAGCTGGCGCGCAGTGGAGGGAGTCTCTGGGCCGTTAGGCTGGGCCTGGGCCTGCCAGTCCTGCCCCAGACTGCGTGGGGGTTGCCCCGAGCAGATGTTGCTGTTGCCTGGAGCCGGCCTGTTTCCCTGCCAGGTTTCCATTCTTCCCAGTGAACGAGGCCCTCTAACCTCAGAAGGCAGGCAGTGTTAGAAATAAAGCATTTCTACCCTGCTGGTGTGGCTCAGTGGATTACGCTGTCGTTTGTGAAGCAAAGGGTCACTGGTTTGATTCCCAGTCAGGGCACGTGCCTGGGTTGCAGATCAGGTGTCCCCAGTAGGGGGCGCATGAGATGCAACCACACATGGATGTTTCTCTCCCTCTTTCCCTCCCTTCTGCTCTCTAAAAGTAAATAAATAAAATCTTTTAAAAAACCACCTTTCATTATTGTATCTTTAACATTTTGTCCTGTACATATATACAGTTGACATTGATTTTATTTTTTTAATGCTGCAGTATATTTTGTGATACACTATATACCAGGGGTTCACAAACTTTTCCTAGAGAGGGTCACAAAGTAAATAGTTTAAGTTTTCTGGGTTGTACAGTCTTTGTCCCAACCATCCCGCACAACAGCCACAGACGTGTGAGTGAACTGCGTGGCAGTGTCCCGGGAAAGCTTCATGGACAGAGGCCGGTCCCGGGCCGTGGTTCGCTGCGCCCTGTGCCACGCCGGATGTTTTTCGTGTCTCCCATGAGCGGACGCTTAGGACCTAAATATGCTCATTCCTACTTGAAGCTGCTTTATATCTTTCAAAAAAGAGCCCCTTCACACGAACAACTTTGCAGACCATGTAGTAATTATGCCTTAGCTGTCCAATGATTAGAAAAATATAGACAGTGACAAAAAGTGACCACTCAGAGACATTGGCAAATGAGAAATCGTGTCATCCGCCACAGGTCTAGCTGTACGTTTACCTGGAAAACAGTAGGTAAGACTTCGGGGTGCAGGCAGTGCTTGGGGTATCTGTGCAGTCAGGCTCCTTGAGAGAAGCCTGGCCACCCGCAGGGAGGCCACTGTGTACAGGCCACCCCCATCCCCCAGCCTGCCCTGTCCCTGAGAGCCAGCAAAACCCACCTCTACGCAGCAGAGGGACCGCCCATGCCGTCCTTATACCAGCGACGCAGTTTTCTTCCTTATTCCCTAAGTTACCACCATTTCCCATCTTCCTCCTGCTTTGTGCCCTCCGCCCAGATTCCCAGCATACCTACCCCGTGCACGGATCCAGTTACCACGGCATTTGTGGGTGGTAAGCCTCCCACACTGACATGGCCCGAGGGGACAGACAGGGACGTTAAGGGTGAGTTGAGGCATTCCTCCAGTTGCAAGTCTTTCAAGCTAAAAAGAGAAGAGGCCCTCCTCAGACAGGGGCACTTGAGGTACTTCTGCCTGAAGGTGGGGACTGGTAATGACTTTTTAGGAAATGAGAGCTGCAGTTCTGTGACAATGGCTTTCGCTGAGCCCCCCACCCCCACGGCGGCCCCAGGGGAGCCATCCATGGAAGCTGCGGGAAGCAGGGAGTTTTTCTGTAGCTCCTCAGCTGGTGAACAGCAGCTCCCAGTCGTGTGGTAGATGGACGTTGGGCAGCTAATGCTGCCCCCAAGAGGAAAGTCTCACAAAACCTCACTGATTTGTTGGATGACGTGAACACAGAGCTTTGCTGGGAATGCCACCATGTTGGTTCACAGGGAGAACAACCTTCTTCTGTCACATGTGAATGAAAGGGAACAGGGACATCAGGAGGAGAGAAGGGGGCCGACGTAGTCTCCTATGGCTCCACACGACAGTGCTGCAGCCTCGCACAGCAATGTCACTGGGCCCCACAGCGCCCAGGCGGGTTCCCGGGGCAGCTCTGTCCGCGGGGCCAGCGCTGGTGGAGGCCACGAGGGACCGCGGCAGCCCGGGCTGTGGGCCTGCCCGCGGCGAGGCTGCGGGGCTCCCCTGCCCTCCTCCCCAGGACGGCCCTGGCCCCGCTGCCCTTCCCTTGGGAGCCGGAGACACAGGTACTTCCTGCGCTTTCCTGCGGCGCCCTCGGCCTTTGAGTGCAGCGGGGTTCTGCTGCCTCTTGGCTGTGGTCCACAGCTGTCCCTGCGCTAGTGCCATCAGTTCGGCGTGGTCGCCTATTGCTTCTGCGGGGGAGATGAGCAAGGGGGCCGCTCGCTGAGTCTCCTCCGTCACATGCAGAGGCAGCTGGTACCGCGGTCCCACCCCGGAGGCTCTGACTGAGGTGTTGTGGGGTGGGCCGGCATGGCGGCGGTCCTGAAGCTCCCAGGGGCTCTGGTCTGCCAACAGTCCCTTTCTGAGCTTCCGGGCTCTTGGAACGGGCTGCTGTAACTTCTCTCAGCTGGAACATTCCAGTTTTCCACGGGCTGCAAGTACAATGGTTTTGGGAGGCGGGATAGAGTGCACGTTGCTAGACTGCTACCCAGGGTTAAGCTATCCCAGTAATTGTTGAGCAGAGATTAACCCAAAGCTCCGATGCTTTAACATTGGGTTCAGCCAGTGCCATTAAATGAGTGGTCAGACCACAACAGGTGCTCAGTGCATTTTAGTTCTTTTCCCGGGTCTCCTTTCCAAACAGGCCACACCTGTAAGGGTCCCCAGGGCTTGGGTTGAGGCCTGAAAAATGCGCAGCGGAGCTCTGCGCCTGTGGGCTTTGCCGCGGGCCGGAGACACTTCCACCTTCGTGCACTTGATGGCGGCAGAGGACCGCTGAGCGGGGGCCGTCGTGCACCAGCCGCTTTGCCCGCAGCCGGCAGCGGTCTGGCTTTTTTCACGGCAGCAGGACCTGGACGAAGCAAAAACAACGCGTGTGTTGCTGCTGTCGTGTGGGCCGTCGGACCTCACTGGGTGGGAAACGCAGGCAGGTAAACGTTAGTTCAAGG